AACATAAGCCGGGAAGTGGGGGACTTTGTGGTAGAGGGGCCACAGGGGCTCCCCAACGCCAGAGTGCACATAGCACACACAGCACAGTGAAGCCAGGAGGTGATGCAGCAGCCTACTGTGCTGACATAACCCATGCTTACCACCTGAGGTGCGGGAACCCCAAGGCCGTGCCATGAAATAAGCATGCTTCCATGTTAAGTGATGAGAAGGGGATACTGCACTAAAACTCAGTTTAAATACACACAAAACCAGCAGTGGCCAAGTGCTGGTGGCTCACGCCTGTCATCCTAGCCATGCAGGAAACAGATCTGAGAGTTGAGGTTCAGCCCTGCCAGGAAAGTCCATGACACTCATCTCCAATTAACCACCTAAGAGCCGGAAGAGGAGCTGTGGTTCAAGTGGTAAAATGCTAGCCTTGAGTGGAAAAGCTCAGGCCCTGGATCTGGGTTGCCGGTGGCTCACGCCTGTAATCCTAGCTACTCAGGAGGCTGAGATCTGAGGATCCAGGTTCAAAGTCAGCCCGGGCAGGAAAGTCCGTGAGACTCTTATCTCCAATAAACCACTAGAAAACCGGAAGTGGCGCTGTGGCTCAAGCGGCAGAGTGCTCCCTTTGAGCTGAAGAGCTGAGGGACAGCGCTCAGCCCCAGAGTTCAAGCCCCACAACCAACAAAAAAGAAAAGAAAACAAAAGCTCAGGCCCTGCCTTCAAGCCCCTCCGCCCCCACAAAACTGGAGAAAGTGTTGCATTAGGTATTTTGGGGGTTGAACTCAGGGCCAGCTTTTAATGCTTGTGCCATGCTTCCCCTCTGTGCGTGTTGCTTGTGTGAGTAAAGCAGTGGCCACCATTGGGTAGAAACGAGGCGTTCCTCAGGATTCTGCCCCCTCTCCCCAGCACCCCGTGCTGCCAGGCGTGCTCCAGGTGAGCCGCACTGCTCTCACAGCACCTGTTAGTGCTGTCTCCTTTGGGGAACCAACCACAAAGGCCAGGGTTACCTGTTGGGGTGTTGGGAGAGTTGTTGGGTAGTGGATAGATGTAGTGCTCTTCTGAGTCCCCTGCCACCTGCACAGCTGTCCTCTGCTCAGTGCCTGTGGGGACTGCTCCCGTGCTGCGCGCTTCCCTCGCCCCTGCTTAACTCCCTTTTCACTGCAGCCGCCACCACAGGGGCCTGAGGAGCTTTCACACATTTCAGGAAATTCACTCAAGACCATGAGAGCTTTGTGCTGATGAGAACATTCACCATATAGGTTCATGTGGACTGAACTTCAATGAAGTCACTGCCCCAGGGCTCCTGGCTCCCATATTGGATAGCATGGGGTTCTGAGGGCTGGTGCCTGAGGCATGCACCCACAGGATGCCCCGTCCCCTAAGGGGCCTCATTTCCTCCTGCCTCCATCCTTCGTGGGAGCAAGTCTTGCCCATTCATGAAGCTGAGATGCGCTGTAGTGCTCCCATGCATTCCTTGGGCCTTGTTGATTTACGTTCTCCCCAAGGCTTCTGTGTTTTGAGTGGTGTGGAAAAAGGAGGAGCTGGTCAGGTCCTGGAGATTTTGTTGTTCCAGCCCCTCCTGGGGCACGTGCCCTCTGCAGCTTTCTTGAGACTGGGGGATGCACCAAGGCCCGGGGTGCCTGGGCCTCCACTGTGCACCTTTTCCATAGCTTTGCTGGTGGGAGGCTCAGAGCAGCAGGCCTGGCCAGGGTGTGTGTCTTCTGTCAGAATGCCTCCATCAGATACCCTGGTGGGAAGGGGTCGAAAGGGAGGGAGAAGTCAGCAGGTGGGCAAAGTGGGCTGTGATAATGATAGGGGGGGCCCTGGACTGGGAAGTGGGTGGGGTTGCCCATCCCCTAGTCATGAGGTTCGTGGCAATGAGGTGAGAAGAAGCAGCATTTGGCAGAAAAATGGTTCTAGTTTCCTCCTGTGCCTCTGAAAGTGGCTACGTGACCTTGCGAAACCACAGCATTCGTAAAATGAGAATGAGCCTCTTGTTTTTCTTGCTGGGAAATGAGAGCTAAATTGAGGTTGTGGGATAATGCTGTAGCCGGTGCGGTGGTTCATGTCTGTAATCTCAGCACTGGCGAGGCTGGGATGTGGCATTTTGATTCCTGATGGAGCTGCACATCTGATGCACATCTGGCAGTTATGATGGGAAGCATAAATAGGAGGATCACTGTGCAGACCTGCCTGGATAAGAAGCAAGACCCTGCTGGGTGCCAGTGGCTCACGTCTGTAATCCTAGCTACTCAGGAGGCTGAGATCTGAGGATCATGGTTCAAAGCCAGCCCAGGCAGGAAAATCTGTGAGACTCTCTTATCTCCAATTAACCACCAGAAGATTGGAAGTGGTGCTGTGGCTCAAGTGGTAGAGAGCTCTCCTTGAGCTCTTCAGCTCAAGGACAGTGCCCAGGCCTAGAGTTCAAGCCCCATGACTGACCCCCCCCCCCCAAAAAAAAAAAAAAAAAAACAGCATGGGGTTTAAAGACTATGAGTATTCAGAAACAGTATATTCTAGCAGCTCTTTGTTGGTCATTTTGACAAACCTACATTTCAATTTCACTTTACTTGGAATTTTTTTATCAAAGAGAAGAGAGTACAACCCAGTGGGTTGGAGGGGCTGGCCTTGCCAGCTCCTAAGCTGTCAGCCTGTGACCCAGATTGTTAGAGAACATACTTTAGTGATCTAGCTATTGGCCTGTTTGTGCATTTTCTGGCTGTGTATGTCCACAGGTATGGGGGGGGGGGGGTGAAGTGTCAACTGACTTTCTTTCATTTATTTATTTATTTTTGGTTGGTCATGGGGCTTGAACTCTGGGCCCGGGCGCTCAAGGTGAGCTCTTTACCACTTGAGCTATAGTGCCACTTCCTATTTTCTGGTGGTTCATTGGAGATAAGAGTCTCATGGACTTTCCTGCCCGGGCTGGCTTTGAACCACAATCTTCAGATCTTAGTCTCCTGAAGAGCTGGGATTACAGGCCTGAGCCACCAGTGCCTGGCTCAGCTGGCTTTTCTTTCTTTTTTTCTTTTTGGTTATGGGGCTTGAACTCTGGGCCTGAGCGCTGTCCCTCAGCTCTTCAGCGCAAGTCTAGTGCTCTACCACTTAAACTACAGCACCACTTCTGGCTCTCTGGTGGTTTATTGGAGATGAGAGTTTCAGGGACTTTCCTGCCTGGGCTGCTTTTTGAACCGCGATCCTCAGATCTGAGCTTCCTGAGTAGCTAGGATTACAGGGGTGAGCCACTGGCGCCCGGCTCAGCTGGCTTTTCTTATAAAGCTTTACCTGTGCAACACTGGATACTTGGGTGTGCACATGCAATGTGCAGTTAGCTTGTGTGATGGATGGCAGGCAGGCTGAGTGGTGGTCTGGGGCAGTGGGGAGAGGTGCACAGTGTGTTAGCCAGTCGTTTTCACATGGTCAGGCCATGAGCACTCCCCCGGCTCTGGTGAAGGGGTGTTCTGGTACACGAAGCTTCAGAATGGATTTCCACCCACCTCTGGGGCTCAGCTTGTATTGAATGCTCAGTGGATTCTTTCTGTCTCATGCTAAAATAGACTATTGCACTCAGTTGGAATGGATATTTTGTGTCTGTGTTGTGTGTGCATGCACGCAGTCCTAAGGCTTGAATTTCAGGGACTAGACACTCTTGCTCAAGGTTAGCAGTTGCTACTTGAGCCACACCTCCACTTCTAGTTTTTTGCTGGTTAATTGGAGATAAAGGTCTCACAGACTTTCCTGGCTGGGCTGGCTTCCAAGCACAGTCCTCAGATCTTAGCCTTCTGAGTAGCTAGGATTACAAGTGTAAGCCACCGGCACCTGGCTAGAATTTTCTGTTTAAGGCCCAATAATCTATATGTGTGCATTTCATAATTTTTTTTAATGTACCATGGACAAGCATTTAGGTTGTTTGTACTTTACTATGTATTTAATTTTGGTGGTACTGGAGTTACAACTCAGAACCTCATGCTTGTTAGGCTGATGCTCCATTGCTGAGCCAGGCCCCCAGGCCTGTTTTTCTCTGGTTATTTTTAGATGGGCTCTTGCTTCCTGCCCAGGTGTACACTTGGGTTGTAACCTGCCTATTTTAGGTTTCCTGTTGTTGCTGGGAGGCCATGCATAAGCACAACAACTGGCTTCCTTCTGTGTGGCTGGAGTCTCATAATGTTTCTGCCTAGGCTAGCTTGGAGCCATAATCCTCCCAATCTCAGCATTCCAGCATTCCTCTTGGGATGACAGGTGTGTGCCTCAGTGCTCATCTGGGTCGAGCAGGGATTCTGGACTCTTCTGCCCAGGCTGACCTTGAACTATAGTCCTCCCATCCACAGCCTCCTAGGTAGTGGGGATTGCAGATGTCAGCCAGCTGTGCCCAGATGCCTCCACCTTTTGATTCGTGAATGAAATTGTACAAATAATAGTTTGGACCCTTGCTTTGAGTGTTTGGAAGTAGAATTGCTGGATTGCATGATAATTGCCTGTTTAAGTTTTAGGAAGTACTCAACTCTGTTCCAATAACTGAACCTTCTCGCATTGTAGCAGCAGTGCACGAGGGGTCCAGTTCCTCTGGGACCCTGTCGGCAGCTCGTCAATCCTTTGGTTCTGTGTTGTTGTTTTTTTTTCAATAGCGTTGGAAATTCCACTGAGGCTCTTGGCTGATCCTCTTATAGCAGAGTTGCAGCTGTCCCTGGCTGTCCTGAACCCTCCTTAGGAAGCAGCTCTTCCCCAGGCTCCAGCCTCACCCTCCTTCTCTTGTGTCAGTGCCAGCAGAACCGAGCTGATACCCTTCTTGGTGGAGCTGTGGTAGATGCACCAATAGGGGAGCCTGTCCTTTTCACAGGCTTGGTGCCCCTAGGTTTAGTCGGGATGGGATGGTAAGCTAGCTTGAGGAAAATGACAGAAGATGGAAAGTTAGGAGGTATTTAACACTGTCCTCGCAGCAAGGAAGATTGTGTTCTGGGGTTAGAGGGCCCCTGGAGCTGTGCCATTCACGTCCTCCTTGCCTCTCTCTCGATCAGGGACCATGGCCCAAGTGGCAATGTCCTCACTGCCCGTTGAAGATGAAGAGTCCTCAGAGAGTCGGATGGTGGTGACGTTCCTCATGTCTGCACTGGAGTCCATGGTGAGTGGCTTCTGCCCCGGGGAGTGTGCGCATGCGGCGGGGGGGGGGGGGGGGGGGGGGGAGGGGGGGGGGGGAGATGATGCAGTTAGGCCTGTGGACAAACTTGTTTTTTGTAAAATAGTAATGAGTTTACAAAAACTGGGTTTTTGTAAAATAGTAATGAGTTTATTTATGCATGTATGCATGCTCTGGATTGAACCCAGGCAAGTGCTCTAACACTGAGCACACCTCTGGCCTCTTTTGAGTAATTTTATTTTGAGACAGGTTTCCTTGAGTTGCCTGACCATCTGCCCTTGGCATACTCCTGCCTCAGTCCCCCAAGTAGCTTGTTTTGGTTTTTAGTTGTGATGAGGACAGCTTTTTCCTGGAATAATTGCTACACTTCACACTTTGTTACCATGTTTCAGTATATGCTTAGCTTATCTAAATATTTCTTTTTAAATTGAATTTTTCTTAGGCAGTCCCCTGTTTTGCAAGTGTTAACACTGCATTTATATATAATATTGGAAGTAACTCAGAACAAAGTCATGTATTTGAGTTAAGCTTCATATACTCTTGTCTACTTTCCTATCAGTTGTCCTTATTCTGCTGTAGTAGTCATTACCTCAGGGCTCAGTGTCCGTGTGAGTGAGTGAGTGTGCGTGTGTGTATGTGTGTGTATGTATATGTACATGTGTATATACTCTGGGGGTTGAACTCAGGGCCTGTGTGTTGTCCCTTAGCTTTTTCTCTTAAGGCTGGTACTCTGGCCACAGCTCCATTTCCAGAGTTTTGGTGGTTAGTTGGAGATAAGATAGTTGGGCTGGATTCCAACCATGATCCTCAGATCTCAGTTTCCTGAGTAGCGGCGATTACAGGCATGAGTCACCAACACCAGCTTCCTTTAACTTTTAAGAATACTGAATTCCATCAGGTGCCAGTGGCTCACATCTGTAATCCTAATTATTCTGAGATCTGAGGATCATGGTTTGAAACCAGTCCAGGCAGGAAAGTCCATGAGATTCTTATCGCCCATTAACTACCCAAAAAGTTGGAAATGGAACTGTGGCTCAAGTGGTAGTATGCTAGCCTGGAGTAAAAAAGCTCAGAAAGAGTGCACAGGCCCTGAATTCAAGCCCCAGGATCGAGTTTCCTTGGAATGTACCTTGTCCTTCTGTGGAAGGTGCGTGGCTTTGGTCCACACAGGGTTCAGCTGGCTCACACCCCTCTCAGCCACTGTTGGGAAGTGCCCTGCCTATGCTGCCCACTGCCCAGCTTAGCAGGCACTGTCTGCTTCTGGACCTTCCCTCGGAGTACCAGGGCTTTCTGCTGCCTCATTTACCAGTTCATTTCTCCTGTTTAAAACTAGGCAATGAGGCAAGACAAGCACATGGCAGTGGGCTGTGCCGTGTGCTTGCACGTGGGCACTGGGCAGCTCTGGGTGACACTTTTTGTACTCCCCATACATAGTGGTGCTTGCTTTTTGCTTGCAGTGTAAGGAGCTGGCCAAGTCCAAAGCGGAAGTGGCCTGCATGGCCGTGTATGAGACTGATGTGTTTGTGGTGGGGACCGAGAGGGGACGGGCCTTCGTCAACGCCAGGAAGGACTTCCAGAAGGACTTTGTAAAATACTGTAAGCAACATGTCTTTTTCTTTTGTATTTTGTAAATCTAAACCTAAGAATTTATAGGTGAGAAATGCCATTTCTTCTTCCTAAAACATAATAAGATTTAGATTAAAAACCAAAAAGACTTTGCCAATGTTTATGGAACAGGTGAAGTATCTGAGCAGGCATATAGGTGTTTTCGTCTTTCCTCTTTTTCGAGGGCATGCTGGGGATGGACCCTCGGCCCTTGCTCATACTAGGCAAGGGCTGTGCCACGGAGCCACAGTGTGACCACCGCCCTCAGCTCTTGTTTCCTCTCCTTCCCCCTTCCCCTGGGCGTTGTGTGTCCTAGCATTGAGCCACAGCTCTGACCCTTAAAGAGCTTCATTTAGCTCTTGCTCTGGAGGTGATGGCTGGCTCCTTAGCTGTATTTTTTCCCCTATAAATACATATATTCTCCCAGTCCTGGAGCTTGAACTTAGGACCTGGTTGCTGTTCTCTAAGCTTTTTTGTTTCAGGCTAGCACTCTACCACTTGAGCCATAGTTCGACTTCTGGCTTTTTGGTGGTTAGAGATAAGAGATCTCACAGACTTGCTGACTGGCTTCAAATTTGTAATCCTCATGTCTCAGCCTCCTGAGCAGCTATGATTACAGGCATGAGCTACTAGTGTTCAGCTTGCTCTGATTAATTTTAAGGTAAGGTTCTCACTTTTGTCTAGTTTAGTGGTTATTATGTTGGACTTTGCAAATCTAGAGTTATTTGGTGATGACCTTCTCAGATGAACAGGTGTAGCTGACGAATTATTCTTACTGCTTCTTTTTTCACCAGCTAATAATCTGATGTGTTTCTAGTCATAGCTATGCTTACTTCCGAGTTGGATGCGAGCCATTTATATCCTTGAGGATTTGACCATATAAGATGTCTCTTATTCCTTCCCTTTGTGTTTCTCACATGTGAGCCGTGTGTCCCAGTCAGCCCCAGCACTCTCCCTCCTTTGTGTTTTATAGCAAAGCATAGTTGCTGCCAAATAGAACAAAACATTCTTGCTGAAAGGCAGATGCTGCGGTGCTGGGTCTGAGCCTTTTCTTGGTCAATTCTTCACAGGCGTTGAGGAAGAGGAGAAGGCGGCCGAGATGCATAAGATGAAGGTGGCTGGCCAGGGAAGCCGGATGAGCGTGGATGCTGTGGAAATTGAAACTCTCAGAAAAACAGTTGAGGACTATTTCTGCTTTTGCTATGGTAAAAGATCATTGTGTGCCGCGTTTCTCACATGTCGCTGTGTCCTTGCAGTCCTGTGATGCATCTGTACCCACTGTGCTGACTACTGTGCAGGCCGAGGGGACAGCCATTCCTCCTTTTAGAGGCCAGCATAGCCGTTAGACCCCGTGTCCTGCAAAGCCACCTGTGCGAATTGAGTCACAGGAAAAGCCAGTGGCTGGCTGGGAGAGGAGGGAAAGTTGAACGGTGGGATCAGGCCTTCTGGTTCCTGTGGGTGTAAATGCATTCACACAGGAACTTCAGTTTAAAAATGTCCTGGTGCTTTGGTGGCAGTAGCATCTGTCAGGCTGTATTGTAGGGATGCAGAATGTGTTAGATGTGAAATCAGGCTGTGCTACTATTTAGGTTTGATTTGGTTCCCCAGGCTGGACTGGAGCAGTCTATCCTTTGGCCACAGTCTCCTGAGTGTGTTGGGATTATAGTTGCACTCTGCTATGCCTGGTTAAAGATGTACCACGATAAAAACAGAATAGTGGGAGGTGTAGCTTAATGTGTGCAAGGCCGTAGGTTGATTTTCAGTGTTGAAAAAAAAGTTACAGGCAGATTGGTGTAATAAACTGTCTGCCTTTCTGCTCCTCTCTCTCTCTCCTTTCTCTTTCTCTTTTTCTCTTAAGCTTGCTCACCTAGCACTTATCATTTGAGCCCAATTCCATTTTTTTTTTGACGTAGCATCTCACAAAGTTTGCTCGTGCTATTTCTTTTTTTGTTTGTTTGTTTTTGTTTTTGGCCAGGCATGGGGCCTGAGCTCTGGGCCTGGGCGCTGTCCCTCTCTTCAGCTCAAGGCTAGCGCTCTACCGCTCGAACCATAGCGCCACTTCTGTCTTTTTCTGCTTATGTGGTGCTGAGGAATTGAACCCAAGGCCTCATGCATTCAAGGCAAGCATACTACCACTGAGCTACCTTCCCAGCCCATGCTCAAGCTAGTTTGAACTTGGATTCTTCCTCCCTTTACCTTCTGTGCTGTGTCCTGTTAGAAATTAGCTATTTTTACGTGTGTGTGTGTGTGTGTGTGTGTGTGTGTGTGTGTGTGTTCGTTCGTTCGTTCCAGGGCTGGGGCTCTCAGCCTGGTGGTGCCTGAGCTTTTTTCTCAAGGCTACTGCTCTGCCATTTGAACTACAACTCAAGTTCTGGCCTTTTGGTGATTAATTGGCAATAAGACTCATGGACTTTCCTGCCTGGGTTGGTTTTGAACCATGAGCTTCAGATCTCAGCCTCCTGAGTAGTTATAATAACAGGCTTGAGCCACCTGTTTTCCTTATGGTTTTTATGTTTTGGGTTTCTTTTTGTTGTTCTTGTTGTTGTTTGCTTTTAGCCAGTTCTGCAGTTGAACTCAGGAGTTGGACACTGTCCATGAGCTTCTTTGGCTCAAGGTTAGCACTCTACCACTTGAGCCACAGTGCCACTTCTGGCTTTTTCTGTGTATGTGGTACTGAGGAATTGAACCCAGGGCTTCATGAATGCTAGGCAAGCACTCTGCCACATTCCCAGCCTTTCCTCAAGTTTTAACATTGATTTATTTAGTGTAAATAGGTTAAGATTCGGAGAAATGGAAAATGAACATTTCCTGCTACATGCAAGAAATGTGAATGAAAGACTCCCCTTTCTTGTGGGTTTGATGTGCTTACTATTTGGCTCTTTCATTTCTGCAACCCTAGCTCAGCGGCATTGGACTGGCACACGCTTGAGCTCAGTTTTAAATGAGACGTGGCGGGGGTAGTGTGCGCTGTCTGGCGTGGTGCTGAGACGCTGAGTGTGGCGGGGTTTGTCTCTTCCTCCATCAGGGAAAGCGTTAGGCAAGTCCACCGTGGTCCCTGTCCCCTACGAGAAGATGCTGCGGGACCAGTCTGCTGTGGTGGTGCAGGGGCTCCCCGAGGGGGTGACCTTCCAGCACCCCGAGAACTACGATCTGGCCACCCTCAAATGGATTTTGGAGAACAAAGCAGGGATCTCGTTCATCATTAAGAGGTGAAGTGTGCTCCCTTCTTGGCCAGTGTCAATTCTTCTCAAAGACCAGCAGAACTTCTTTACGATATTTTAATGAGGTGTCATTAACACTTAGGCTTTAAAATAGTTCTGTGTATTCATACATGCTGTTTTGTTTGTTTTCTTATGATGCAGGCCTTTCCTAGAGCCGAAGAAACACCTAGGTGAGTGTGTGCATGTGTGTTTTGTTTCTGAGAGACCTCTCCCTTCACACCACAGGACCCCAAGTGCTCTTGGGTTTCTTGAGGCTCTGGCAGAGCCAAGACTTTTTTGGTGGGGGTGGGGGAGTAGTCATGGGGCTTGAACTCAGGACCTGGGTGCTATCCCTGAGCTTCTTTTGTTCAAGGGTAGCACTGTGCCACTTGAGCCACAGTGCCACTACTGGCTTTTTCTGAGTAGTTTATTGGAGGTAAAGGTCTAATAGACTTTCCTGCCTGGGCAGGCATTGAACAGTGATCCTCAGATCTCAGCCTCCTGAGTAGCTAGGATTACAAGTGTGAGCCACAGGTGCCTGGCTCAACCAAGACCTTTTAGTTGGTAAAGAGGTCACAAGGTGAAAAAGAGGCCACTTATGACACTTTATGACAGAGGCCTGTCAGAGCCTTAGTGCAACCCGCACACATTGACTTGCACTACTGTGGAATTGCCCTGCTGGTGATAGAGCCAGCCTGGCACAAGCCTGGATACTGAGGGTACCACAGCTGTGTACAAAGCTGTGACACTGTCATATCTCCCAGAGTGACCAGGACAGCCCAGCAATGACACTGGCACACCTCCCAGAGTAACTGGGACAGCCCTAGGAACAGCCTAGAGAAAGACTCTGGGCCTTCAGTGGAAGTCCTGCTTCTGAGGTTGGAAAGGCTCCGAGCCAGAAGCTCAGGATGTGGTCCTGAGTGGGAGCTATCCTGCAGGTTGCTTTCAGAGACCCCTGGCTGTTGCATTGTGAGAATGAGAGGGGCAAAGGTGACACAGGGAGCCAGGGTCACTGGAGACTCCTGTTTCGATGGTGCAGTGTTTGCATTCAGAGCCACATCCCCAGCCCCTGTCACTGGGAACCTCTTAACTGTGGAAGAATGAGAGGGAAAAAGTGCATACACATAGACTTCGTTTCTGTTAAACCTTTTTCTTTAAAAAATTTCAACATGTTGAAAATAATTTTTTACCTGCTTTATTAGGGTGTAGTTAACACATCTTAAAATGAACCCATTTTAATTGTACAATTCTATGAGTCTTAGGAAATGTTAAGAATCTAAGCCGGGCGCCGGTGGCTCACGCCTGTAATCCTAGAGCTACTCAGGAGGCTGAGATCTGAGCATCGGTTCAAAGCCAGCCTGGGCAGGAAAGCCCGTGAGACTCTTAGCTCCAATAAACCACTAGAAAACCAAAAGTGGCACTGTGGCTCAAGTGGTAGAGCGTTCACCTTGAGCTGAAGAGTGCAGGGACAGCACCCAGGCCCAGAGTTCAAGCCCTATGACTAACCTCCCCCCCCCCCAAAAAAAAAAAAAAGAATCTAAAAATCTAAAAAGCAAGTGCTACAGCACTTGGCTGGTGTGGGAGACTTGCTGGGTTCCATCCCCAGCACTGCACAGATGTGATGCAGCTTGGGCTGGCCTCAAACTCGATCCTCTTGGGGGACTATAGCTACATAAACTGGGCTCTCTCTGTTTCTTTTTCTTTTTCTTTTTCTTTTTTTGGTCCAGTTGTGGGGCCTGAGCATTGTCCCTCAGCTCTTCAGCTCAAGGCTAGTGCCCTACCATTTAAGCCATAGTGCCACTTCCGGCTTTTTTCTTTTTGCTTATGTGGTGCTGAGGAATCAAACCCAGGGCCTCAGGCATGCAAGGCAAGCGCTCTACCACTGAGCCACCTTCCCAGCCCCTCTCTGTTTCTTGTTAGATGATTGGCAAGTTCTTTCTCTAATTCCATGACATCTCTTAACTTGCTTTAAGATTGACTGAAACCGATTTTATTCTTTGACTCTTTATGCTTTGATGTTTCATCCCATAAACCATTACTTGGGAGCAGAGTGGGGTGAGCACTTGTGTTGCTTGCCTGTGGGCCCGGTTTGATTCTTGGGACCTGGAAAAAACAAACCAGCCCCCCAACATTGTTTAACCCATTGTCTTGAAGATTTCTTTTGCAAGTCTTACAGCTTTAGCTCTTGTAGACAGACCCATTGCTCTGTTGCTGAGCCAGCCCAAGTCTGCAGCCTGCAGTGGGTCTGACTTAAAGCTGACATGTCCCAGGTGAGACTGTGCATTCATCTTTTGTGGCTGTCCACTTGTTCCAGCGTTTAGTGCATGAAAAGTACACCCTTCCTCCTGGGTTGCCCTGGCAACTTGGAGGGGAATCAGCTGACCCTGACTATGTCTGTCTGGGCTTTTCCATAGCAGCTCATGCAGTGTGAGAGTCAGGACAGCACCCCCTCCACTGGTCCCTTTCTTGCCCCTCCTCTGTCTGAGGGCCCTTCTTTCTTTCCTCTGTTCTGGCTAGAGTCAGCATCCATTGGAAGGGCTGATGGTTGGCCCTGCACCAGGACTAAAGGAGGCCAGTGTGCTGTGAGCTGGGCTCCAGTTGACACAGATGTTTACATTAGAGTGCAGATGGATGGATTGCAGCTTGCTTTTCATTCCTGGCTGTGTACATTTGGGACAGCACGGGGGATGTGGACCGTGTACAGGTCATAGAATGACCTTGTGTGTCCATTTAACACTTTTGTAGTAAGTTCTCATGCTTGGCAGGGAGCCAGGCCTCCAAGCACTGAGCTGTACCCCAGGTCCTCTTTGATTTTATTAACTTATTTTTCTTTACTTGGACGTAGTTTAGATTGGTGTCCTCTGCCATTGGCATTTGTTTTTGAGACATGGGAGGGATCTGGCTTGTTCTGTCATGGGTGAATGCTCACGGCTACTGGGCCATCCAGGCTGGGGCTGCAGGCCTGGACTTCATTACCAAACCTGACTTAGTTGAGAAGTCAGGAGGCTCATCCCAAAGTCCCAGGGTGCACCTGCAGTTGGTATATGCGTTCCAGACCAAGAGTGTCTTCATTGCCCTGGGTCTCCCCAGGCTGACATTGAGGGCTTCTGCTGACCCACTACCTTCATTTGCCTTTTCTAGATTGTTCTATAAATGAATCCTAGTGTGTAGACTTCTGATGCCTTGTTTTTTTTTTGATCGGTCATGGAGTTTAAACTCTGGGCGTGGGTGCTGTTCCTCTGCTCTTCAGCTCAAGGCAAGTGTTCTACCACTTGAGCCACAGAACTACTGGTTTTCTGATGGTTTATTGGAGATAAGAGTCTCATGGGCTTTCCTGCCCAGGCTGGCTTTGAACCGTGATCCTCAGATTTCAGCTTCCTGAGTAGCTAGGATTATAGGCATGAGCCACCAGTGCCCAGTTTACCTTGTTCTTGTGAAATGCATCCATGTTTCGTGGAGCCATAGTTCATCCTGTTTTCCTACTGAACAGTACTCTGATTTAGTCCACATTTATATTATGTGTATTATTCTACTGTTCTGTTTTTTGAGACAGGGTCCTATTTGCTATATAGCCCAGGAAGTCCTTGAACTCACAATCTTCTTTTTTTTTTCCTACTCTGCAACTTACTTTTTATTGAAAGAATCTTATGAAGGATTTTTTAAATTTAGCCATCTATTCAATGGCAAAGGTTTAACTGCTTTTTCACATGTAACTAATATGAACTGTTTTCTCAACAAGGAAATCCTGATCAGAAAAAGATGACATGCCACATAAATTGTTTTTTTTTTTTTTTTTGTCGGTCGTGGGGCTTGAACTCTGGGCCTGGGCGCTGTCCCTCAGCTCTTCAGCTCAAGGCGAGCGCTCTACCACTTGACCTACAGCGCCACTTCCGGTTTTCTGGTGGTTTATTGGAGATAGGAGTCTCACGGTCTTTCTTGCCCGGGCTGGCTTTGAACCGCGATCCTCAGATCTCAGCCTCCTGAGTAGCTAGGATTACAGGCGTGAGCCACCAGCACCCGGCAAGTGTTTTTTTTGTTTTTGGTTTTTTTTTTGGTCGGTCATGGGGCTTGAACTCTGGGCTTGGGCGCTGTCCCTGCGCTCTTCAGCTCAAGGCGAGTGCTCTACCACTTGAGCCACAGCACCACTTCGGTTTTCTAGTGGTTTATTGGAGATCAGAGTCTCACAGACTTTCCTGCCTGGGCTGGCTTTGAACCTCGATGCTCGGATCTCAGCCTCTTTAGTAGCTAGGATTACAGGCGTGAGCCATCGGCTCCCAGACTAAATTAAGTGTTTTTAATCAAAAAAGCTAACCAGTTGTCTAGTTACATTTCTCCACCCCAAGCCCTACATAAACTTGGTAGTAACTGAATCTCTAGGCAACATATTCAAAGTTGAGATTAAAAATTAGGTGAAAAGAGAGTCCTCAGGTCCAATTAAGAGCCCTGCTTCATACATACCAGTGGTCCTGGCTAGACTCTAGACAATATACTAAAAAGCCCACTAACAACATTAACTTCAAGTAGCCTTTTTCCAGTTTCCAATTTGTGAATAAAGATATAGTTTGTTAATTCTTGTTGCAACCCTTGTTGCAACTTGTTTTATTTACAATGCCAACTTCTGCAAGCTTAACTAAAGTTAACTAGACAATAAACTAGGCAGAAATTGCTCTACAGAAAGAGAGAAATCCTAAAATGCCACTTTCCACAGAGAACCCACAATTGTTTTATTCAGAAAAGAGAAGCTTTCACTCGGACTAGAAGAAACTCAGCCAAAGTTTGGGATGTGTATTCAAACTACACATGCAATGAGGACAATATTACGCTAATACAATTGATGTGCTGTTGCATTTGTCTACTGTTGCTCTAATGTTAACGATTATAAACAGAGCAGTGCAACTAGTATTTGGAACAATCCTTGTAATGTTACAGTGTCAGGCACATTTCACATCTGTTCACACCACTGGTTCTCTTTGCGTACCTGGGCTTCCTCCTCTTCAGTAAAGTTGTTCTTCTTTTTTTTTTTCTTGTTGGTCATGCGACCTGAAATCTGGCCCTGGACTCTGGCCCTGGTCGCTGTCCCTCAGCTCTTCAGCTCTAGGCTAGCACTCTACCACTTGAGCCACAGCACCACTTCCGACTTTTTTGGCTTATGTGGTGCTGAGGAGTCAAACCCTGGCCTCTTGCATGCGAGGCAAGCACTCTACCACTGAGCCACCTTCCCAGCCCCATCTAAATTCTTTTTTTGTGATTAAGTGATTACATAATTTCCCAAATTTCACAGTATTGTGATGCTTAGTTAAAAGTCACAAACACATTCTCACTTTCATGGGGCAAATTGTCTATCGTAGTCCATAACATTTATGAGTTCTGTGAGCTTTGTAATATAGTTATTTCTCTTCCAGTAAAGTTGTTCTTAATGTTGAAAGTTTTGCGAATCTCCTCAGGAGTTTTCTCCTTAATCATATTGGCAACAGTCTTACCTGTGACATCAAGCAAACCTTTGATGTCTAAGTAGTTTGCAGCCAGAATAAGTTCAAAAGATGTTCCTTGGTCAACTTTCAGGAATTCTTGGTCCCAAACAGGAATATCATCTGTACGCTTTTCTTTGTTCTCATCATCCCCTGGAGGAGGAGGATCATCCTTGTGGTGGGTGCACCACGGAATGACCTTTTTAAATATTGCTGTGTTATCATGTGGTAGAGGAACTGGGTCATCATCTCCTTCATCATCCATTCCCAAATTTTCGAACATGATCTTGATGATCACAGATTGTTTGGCAATTTCTTTTTTTTTTTTTTTTTTGTCAGTTGTGGGGCTTGAACTCTGGGCCTGGGTGCTGTCCCTCAGCTCTTCAGCTCAAGGCGAGCGCTCTACCACTTGAGCTACAGCGCCACTTCCGGTTTTCTGGTGGTTTATTGGAGATAGGAGTCTCAAGGTCTCTCTTGCCCAGGCTGGCTTTGAACCGCGATCCTCAGATCTCAGCCTCCTGAGTAGCTAGGATTACAGGCGTGAGCCACCAGCGCCCGGCTTGTTTGGCAATTTCTATATCAACTTCAAATATTTCTCCATCAGAACCCTGCAACTTAATTGAAGGCATGGTATTTGGTCTCGAAAAGACGGCGGACAGGAGTCTGCCAGGAGCGAGGCAGCATCCACGCAAGCAGAAGAGAAAGACAAAGACAAGGCCACTCGCAATCTTCTTTTTTTAACCTTGCGGTTGCTGGGATTATAGATATATGTAACCTCACTCCACCGCACCTGTTACAGACACAGCATAATTTACTCACATATCTGGTGATGGAAGTTGGGGTTCTCTTGGATATTACACTAAGGACTGATCGCCTGTTGGGTTATAGGGTTTTTTTCCCAGTGCCAGTGAATAGAACCCAGGTCCTTGTACATAACCCCATGGGTTTACTTATTTGTTTAATTAGCTAGTTCTGGGACTTGAACTCAAGGTCTTGTATTCCTTCTTCCTCCTCCTCCTCCTCATCCTCCTCTTCTTTTTTTTTCTTTGACCAACATCCTGGGGCTTAACTCGGGGCTGGGACACTGTTCCTGAGATTCTTTTACTCTTCTACTTGAGCCGGAGTTCCATTTTTGGCCTTTTTTTTGGGTAGTTTATTACTGATAAGAGTCTCAGAGTAGACACACAAGTATACTTTACATCTGCCACCATAATCATTGCCATTCCTACAGGAGTAAAAGTATTCAGCTGATTAACCACACTACATGGAGGCAATATCAAATGATCACCAGCCATACTCTCAGCGTTAGGCTTTATTTTCCTTTTTACTGTGGGACGATAAACAGATACCGTATTATCTAACTCATTACTTGATATTGTTCTTCATGGTACATATTATGTAGTAGCCCATTTCCACATGTCTTATCAATGGGAGCAGTATTTGCAATTATAGGTGGTTTTGTCCATTGATACTATTTACTGAATACACCCTCAATGACATATGAGCTAAAGTTCACTTTACTATCATATTTATTGGTGTAAACATAACATTCTTCCCTCAGCATTTCCTAGGACTAGCAGGGATACCACGACATTATTCAGGCTACCCAGATGCTTATACTGCATAAAACACCGTATCATCAATAGGGTCATTTATCTCACAGCTATGTCATCCTAATAATTTTTATAATATGAGAAGCAATCTCATGGACTTTTCTGCCCAGGCTGGCTTTGAACTGCGATCCTCAAATCTCAGCCTCCTGAGTAGCTAGGATTACAAGTGTGAGCCATTGGTACCTGTCAGCCTTCTACTCTGGCATAACTTTTTGGCTTGGCTGACATTCTATCCCTTGAGCCATGCCTCCAGTCCTGCTCATTGCTGCATAGTTTGGGATGAGTTCTTATCTTGTAGCCCAGGCTGGCCTAGAATCCATGATTCTCCTGTCCCCGCACCTCACATAAAATGCATCATTTTTTTTTTTTTGGCAGTCGTGGGGCCTGAACTCTGGGCCTGGGTGCTGTCCCTCAGCTCTTCAGCTCAAGGCTTGTGCTCTACCACTTGAGCCACAGCGCCACTTCCAGCTTTTTTCTGCTTATGTGGTGCTGAAGAATCAAACCCAGGGCCTCCTGCATGTAAGGCAAGCACTCTACCACTGAGCCACCTTCCCAGCCCCAAAATGCATCATTTTAAAGTATTCAGTTCAGTAGGTTTCTTGTTTGTTACTATTTAGAGCATTTAGTTTAAAACTGGCTTTGTGTGGATTCTTTAACTAGCTATACAAAAGAGTTGACATTCAACAAAGGAGTTTATGCATACAGTGAATCTTGAACACTGCCTCCCCTTCCTTCATTCTCCCCTTCAGCTCAGTGGATTTATTAGTATATTTACAAATTGTGCAACCATTTCCATCATCCCCACAAGAAACCCCCCCCCCCCCATTATCTTGCCAGCTCTGCCACTAGAGGTCAGAGTTGGTTCTTCATGGTGGCTGCTCACTGACCTGGTGCCTCACTGCTTGTGGCTCTGCAGTTAGTCATGATGTATTAGTCAGAGGCGAAGGGTTGAAGCCTTGTTCTTGTCTTTGTGCACAGGTGGTCGTGTGATGGTGCCAGACGTGGAAAGGTCGATTCTGTCTCCGGGCGGCAGGTAAGCAAGGTGGGGCTGTGGTCACAGAGCTGGAGCGGGAGACAGCGTCTTGGCCTGACTCTGCAAGCACATCATCCGGGAGTCTTGCACAAACTTGATTTGTTTTGTTTGGGATGGCGTCTTACCAGCCCTGGCTGGTCTCAGACTCTGTCCTGGCCTCAGCCTCCGCAGTGCTGGGATTGAGGTGTGTGCCCCAATACCTGTCCTTCGGGCCTGCTAGGCATGATGCAGTATTGTCTAGGTTTATCCTCAAGCTGTGTGAGTGATTTCCCCATGGCAGAGTCTGACCAGCTTCCTTCTTCTTCCAGCTGTGGCCCCATCAAGGTGAAAACGGAGCCCACAGAAGACTCTGGTACGTGTGTGCTCTGATACTGGGTGTAGCACTTGGGTGTACTTGAGAAGTGAGTGCTCCCTGCCTGTAAGGTTGCACTCCACGCTGCCGGCTAGTCGTGTGGCATTGTTCGCTGAGGTGCTGTTGGCTGTGCACATGAGCTGCGGCACAGGGCCTTCTAGATGATAGAATTGACTGCTCTCCCCCTCGCATCCATCTGCAGACCACCATGCCTGGCCCACCTCCACCCTCTCTTTCTCGTTCTCTCTCTCCCCCCCTCTCTTTCTTTCTTAATTTATTTCGTTCTTTCTTTCTTCTGTCCTGGGGCTTGACTCTGGGCTTGGGCACTGTCCCTGCGCTCTTCAGTTCAAGGTGAGCATTCTACGGCTTGAGCCACAGCGCTACTTCCAGTTTTCTAGTGGTTTTTATTGGAGATCAGAGTCTCACGACTTTCCTGCCCAGGCTGGTTTTGAACCGCGATCCTCAGATCTCAGCCTCCTGAGTAGCTAGGATTACAGGCGTGAGCCACTGGCACCCAGCTTCCTCCACCCTTTCTCTCTCCACTCATTTCCTACTTTGGAAGAAAGCTGTTTTTGGCATTCATTCCCTTTTGGGTATAAATGGAGTTTAGTAAGTATTAGCTCCTAGGGGCTGTTGCTCTTTTTTTGGTAGCACAACATTCACCTGTTTCAACAGGACCTACTAGATTGAGTTCAGGTTTGTTTGTGGTTCTGAGGTTTGAACTTGGGGCCTTGGGCTTGCAAGACGGGTTCTCTGCTGTTTGCCACCCCTTCAGCAGAGACTCAGCCCTTGTGCAGTGCACAGTGATGTCCCCAGACCTCGTGGAGGGAGTGCCGTGCTTCGGTCCTCTGACCGCCAGTGGTCGCCACCTGGAAGTGTGGTGAGGGACGCCAGCTGTTTCCGCTCGCTCCGTCTACCTCTGCCCAGCTCTGCCTGTTTTTGTTTTTTTTTTTTTAACTTGCTGAGCCAAAAAAAAAAAATTGTTCAAGGCTGGCGCTCTACCACTCTGGGCCACAGCTCCGCTTGTGGTTTTCTGGTGGTTCATAGGAGGTAGAGATCCTCAGATTTCAGCCTCTTGAGTAGCTAGGATTACAGGCATGAGCCTCCGGCACCCGGCTGCTCTGCCTGTTTTGCCAGGAGAGAGAGTCATTAGCATCTCACTCCTGATCTCAGGGTCATTCCTCTGCACCCTGTCTCCTTGGGCTAGTGACATGTGGCTCCACCATACCCGCCTTTGCCTAATGTTTTTATTGGTGGTGCAGAGGTTTGAAGTCGGGGCCATCTCTCAGGCCTTGCCTTCCAAGTGGGGAGGCTGTTAGGCTGGTACTGGAGTCTGAGAGGCAGAGAGGGCCTGGGCTCTGGTAGCAAGGGGCACCACACACTGGTCTGTGGGAAGGTGCTGATGAGCACGCACAGGGGAGCAGGGTGGAGTTGTGCTGGCCCTGTGTTGTACTTCCTTCCTGCCTGCCCCTTCCCGGACTGTGCCTTCCACCAGGGACCCTGAACTCCTGGTCCTCTGCCTGCCTCAGCCTCCCTGGAGCTGGGACTGCAGGCATGCACCACCACACCCCGTTCTGAAAGTCCCATTTTCTCAGAAGGAGTTTATGTAACTAGGATAAACTAGTTACGTGGGCATATAACTAGGTTAAAATGTGAGAAGTGTGTGCATGTGTGGATCTCCCCACACTGCAGAGGGAAGGAGGGCCACATGCCCAGCTCCTGGCCTCTCTAATCGCTTCCTTCTTTCCCCCTCTGATGCCAGGCATCATTGGAGTGCATTGTCCACCCGCTCGGAGCTGTGATGGGTAGCAGGCACAGCTGTGCAGAAGGCATGCTGGGCCCTTGTTAGCAAGAAGGGCTTTGCTGTAGGAGATGTTCTCCTGGGTTCTAAGCTCAGTGCTTTGGGCCGTGTGTGTGCTGTGCTGAAGTGTGCTGGGGATGCGTGTATGTTGGGCATGGGCCTGTGTGTGGGCCACACTGTGCACTGGTGCTGCTTCTTTCCTTACACTTGCCTGGCATCCGTTGCGTGTGCTTGGCTAAGGACACATTTCCTGCTTTGCCAGGAATCTCCCTGGAGATGGCCGCCGTTACAGTGAAGGAGGAGTCTGAAGATCCTGACTACTACCAGTACAATCTGCAAGGTAAGCGCTGCCCTCCCGCCACGCGGGGCCCGCATGAGACTCGCGCTCTGCCTTTCCTCGTCCTGTGTCAGGTGGTTTGAACGCTGATGACAAAGGTAAAGGCTGGGCTTCTCGGCCGGGCTTGTACGCTGGGCTCCCCAGGCGTGGAGCAGCCACATCCATTTCCTGGTACACACTGACTGTCCTGATGCCCGTCACGTGGAAGTCTATGTCTTGCATACTGCCATCATCGTGTCCATCATGTCTTTGTGTCGTCCTCCACCTGCTGTCATTTCCTCTTCCATTTCCTAGACATGATAGCATGGTGCGGGCCTGTGGAGCAGGCTGGCCCCTTCGGAGGCGGGGGCTGTGTCCTGGTGGAGCCTTGCAGTACTCTGGGTGCACATGCACTGCATGGACTCCATGCTGTCCATTTGTCTGCTGGTGGCCATTTGTTCTGATTTGGGTCCTAGTTGTCAGGAGCGACTAGACATTTGTGTAAGATTTGTGTGGCCAGTTCCTTCTTGTCCATTGAGGAGACATCTAGCGATGGCCTTGCGGGGAGATGCGGGCACTGAGTGTTTCAGGTAGCATGTGCAAGAGTCCTGGTGGTGCCACCTACATTCTGGCCGGCATGGGCATGTCCTGGCCAAGAGACCACTGTGGTTCTGCGCCCCCATATGTGTATGCCTGCACCCCCATGTGTGTTTGCCTAGTGGATTTCCTTTCTTTAAAAAGTGCTCAAATTTATTCTGGTTTGTGAGTGTGTACGTTGTTAGGTTGTACCTTATTGGATTTCATGTGTAGTGCATTTGACTAGTGTACTCACCCATACGATGTTAGAAACTGCATGACGGAGTGGAGGACTCTGGGATTTCTGCAATTGAAAGGTTGAAGTCTTAGCCGGGTGTGGTGGCACATGCCTGTGACCCCAATTTCTTGTGAGGCAGAGATCTGGAGGAGCATAGTTGGAGGCCAGCTGGCCCCAAACAGGAATTCCTCTCTCTGGTGTAGTTGTGTGACGTTGGTGTACTTACGGTATGTAGGTTTCTAAAATGCTTGGCAAAAGTGAGATACAGGGCTTATGGCATGACCCAAATGGTGGAGCACCTGTCTAGCAAGTACGAGGTCCTGAGGGCAAACCCTAGTACCACCAAAAAAAAGGGTGGGGTGAACTTGGTTTAAAGCTGCCTACTTCCTGGTAATCTGCCCAAATGTTACTGGTCCATGTGCACACTCCCCACCTTCCCAAAATACCATGTAGGAGTAAGGAAGGCGCCGTCCAGTGTCTTTCGACCTGTGACCAGCGCCTGGGAGACTGAGGAGGCACAGAGGCTCACACCCAGGTACTTGGAGGTTGAGGCCAGGAGGCCAGCTAGGCCAAGAGTGAGACCACTGAGCTGGCCGTGGCGGTGCATGCTTGTCGTCCCAGCCACGTGGGGAAAGTAATGTGTTGGTGAGGCTCGGTGATGCTGGTGTGCACTGGGGGGCCTGCGCGTGTGGATTGCAGTGCAGGAAGCAATGCGAAGGGTGGCCCAGGGCTTGGCAGAGCCCAGCGTTTTGGTTTGTGTCTGGCTTAGGTGGCTGTGGTGGGTTGCGTTGCTTCTGTCTTAGTGTGGTGAGTGGTAGGTAGGCGCAGCTCTGGTGTGGTGTGGTGCGGTGTAGTAGGGTGCGGACTGGCCCGGCTCCATCCCTCTTCCTCCTCAGCCTCACTGTCCCGTCCTTGCCACCTCATCCTGACTCGTCAGAGGCCATTGTCATCCGCGCATGGAGGCGTGTGGTGGGGGCTCCCGGCGTCCCTCTTGACGCCTTTGTCTTTGTATCCCAAAGCAGGCCCCTCCGAGACGCCCGAGCTGGACGAGAAGCTCCCCCTTGCCAAGCCTCTGCCAGGTAGACGTCGCCGCCTGGGCGGCGGGCCCCGCGTTTCCATGTGTGTGACTGCACTCACTTTTCCAAACGGAAAAGGAAGACATGGATTGGCCTAACATAAATGAACTTCGCAAGCCAAACTTTCCCCACACCATTTTTCCCTTGGTGAATGTGGCGGCGGGCACACGCGCTTCCTGTGCAGGTGTCTGCGCAGGTGCTGTGCCCCAGGGGCAGCGGGCGGTCAGGCCGTGCGCGGCGATGCTGCGTGCGTGCGTGGGGGTGCTCACGTGAGCCCGGAGCCACGCACCCATCCTCTTCTTTGGTATGTTTGTACAGTTTTTCCAAACACGATGGCCTTAGGCTTTTACTTGTAAACTTTGTTCCGTGTGAGTATATAAAAGTTACTTTCTTTAGCTTTTTCCCTTGTATTATGCACGTAACTGTCTATTTCTGATTTCAGTAGAACAGAGAGAACGCAGAGGTGCTCATGTCCTTGAACCCCCCCGCCACCACACACACCCCATTTTATTTCCACCCCTGGCTTCCTGTCCATATTCTCTTTAAGAAATTGCAGCCCCAAATGAGCAAGGAACGTGCAAGGCACGGGTGAAGAGCCGCACTGTGCACCGGGCTGCGCAGGCCCCGCCCCAGCACGGGCCGCTGGAGGCTGGGCTGGCCTGCATGGGAGTCCTGGCATTCTCCCACCAGCCAGGACACACGCAACCAGTGCTTTCCCAAAAGCTGGGGCATGCCTCCAGCTGAGGCCGAGCCTCTGAAGCTGCCATTGGCTGCTGGGACAGCTCAGTCCTCTCCTCAGCATGCTTGCTGGTGGGAGATAGGCTTTATCACAGGGGAGAGGGAGGCAGGTGTGGAGGAAAGGGGGATGATGGAGTTGCGGCCTTCTTATCAGTGTAGGTTTCTCAGGCCATTGTACCCACCTTTGTTATCATCTTCTTCCTCCTTGTCTTTGGGGTCAAGAGGTCATTTGTCCTGTTTGTGTTTGGAGTCAGTCTTCTGCTCCAGTAGGCCGAGCCTGCGCCCTGTGACCCCTGCTCAGTGTTACCAGCAGGTATAGTGTATTCCCCACCTGTAAATGTGCTTTAGGCCTGGGTGATGTCTCCCATGGTGAAGGAGTGCTTGGTGCAGTGCAGGAGATGGTGCCCTGGCCCCTGTCCACACTTGTGCCCACACCTGCGTGCCCATGCTCATGTCCACACCCCCCGTGCCAGCCACAGAGCTTGCTCTGTATACCTGCAGCTTGAGACGTGTTGAAGGTAGAACTGCTTTTGTTTTTCTGATTTGCATTTATCACTAAAGGTGAAAGGCTCACGTTGTGGTTATTGTATCCTAAGTTGCACCGCTGCCCAGCTTCCTTTCTCCTGCCGTGGAAGCGAGCCACTGGTTGAGCGTGTGCTGTTTGTTTTCTTTCCAGGCAGCCACCATTCCTCCGAGGGCACCGAAGGAGCGGAGGTGGAAGCGCCTGCAGAAGGTTAGGACTCGAGGGGTGCCGGGCAGGGCGCAGGCAGCGCGCCCAAGCCGGGGTGGCGTGCAGGCAGTGCGGGGCGAGGAAGGACTGGTGGTCAGGCCCTGAGTGGAGGAGAGTTCTCCAGCCGTGCTGCTGCATGGTGGGAGTGGGTGCACCTGTGGGTGCGTGGATGTAGCGTTCAGCCACCACTGCAGCATGGCGCCCCACTTCTGAGCAGCTTACGTAGTCACACAGCATGTGGACCTTTCCCCCAAGGACGACGCTGGGAAGGCCAGGCAGCCTTGTGTCAGATTCGCCGTGCTGAACCTCCCTCAGCCTTTCTGCTACAAAAAAGGAATCTGTTCTGGAGGTTTCTGTTCTTGTGTTTGCCGTTTCAGTGTAGGGATTTATTTACTGTTTCCCTTCTTCAGATTGCCCTGGAATTGGGGCTGCCTATGCAGGAGCCCCACCTGGATGGCTCCCCTTGCTGGGAGGGGGAACGGGCTGTATCTCAGCCGAGAGAGCCTTGTCTGTGAGGAGTGCTCCTGGCGGGCAGCCATGTTCCGCTCTTTGTTCTTTTACTAACAAACAGCACCATCTTTGCAAATAATCTCCTTGCCTCTGCACAGTGACCACTCGGCTTCTGCACTAACCCCACAACTCGGTGTTGTGTGTGGTCACGCCCCACTGACATGACCCTGTCACACCTGTCCCAGCCCCCGCTCTGCGAGGTAAACCTCCGCAGGTCCTGAGTAGGAAGTATGCACTCATATTTTAAAAATGCATACGAAGTGAATTCAAATTTCAGTTGCATTTTATTGCAGGATGCTTTTGGAGAGTACCAAGTCAGTACACTGTTGGAACATATGGAAATGCTTAATAATGAATGTCATCTTAGAATTTTATTTTTTTCAAGATTCTACTCAACATGTCCCTTCAGAAACAAGTGAGGACCCTGAAGTTGAGGTGACTATTGAAGGTCAGTTATCTGACAGCCTGCATTCACCTTACATCACCGCATCTGCATCTCACCATCCATAAGGCCCTGGGGGGGGTCACTGTCCCTGGTGGGGCACCCACCCGTGTGGCTGGTGGCCCTGCCTTCTCTAGTGGGGACTGAAAAGCAGCCTGTGAGCAGACTCAGTAGATGCGGGACAGGGGAGATGAAGGCAGAGCCAGAGCCCCTTGCTGGCAGCCTTGCAGCCTGAGGAGGAGGAGGAGCTCAGGAGAGGCGGCCACAAAGGAGTCGCCGGGACAGCAGCTGTGCACCACTAGTCTGTCACCTTTCCTTAGCCAGCCACTTGGAAGCCAGCTGCCCCTAAAGCTTAGAGTTGAATATATCATTTGTTTTGCAAAATGATGAGTCACAAATTTAATCTCAAAGCAGTCGTTAGCTGGAGTAGCTCAGGGCCTGTCATGGCTTGGGAGGCGAGCAGAGGAGGCTGCCCACTCTCGCCTACTGTGCTATTTGGCTGTTACTCTCAGCGGCAGCCTCTTGGCTCGCTCTAGGGAGGTGGGAGACCACACTAATCTCCCAGCTCCAGTCCCCGCATCCACACCCTGGAGCTTTGCACAAATACTGGATGCATTAGGACACAGAAGATGCATTAGGACACAGAAGATGCATTAGGACACAGAAGCCTTCGCACTCCTCAACCCCCCCCTCCCCCCCCCCCGTTACCACATGTGGGAGTTGACCATTTCCTGGCGTCTATGTAACGTTGCTTGGTGTGGGGGCTTGGTGTACAGTCTGTCGCTGCTCCCCGTGGCCTGTCCTCACCCCTCCATAACATCTGTCCCCTAGATGTCTGTCCTCACCACTTCCAGAGTGGAAGGTGATTTGTACTCCACCTTTTAAACTTCATGTGTTAGTCTTCGTTTCTTTCGTCATTAATATTTTATTTTCCTGATGGTTGTGTTGAGTTGTTTATGGTCTGTTATTTGCTATCTGACTGAACTTTTGTCACTTTAAGACCTGTGAGAAGAGAGCGTTGTAAGAGTGCAAGCAAAATATAACTTGCAGGACTTGTCCTTTCTGAGAGGAGAGGAAAGATAGGTGACTAAGCTGGGTGTGGTGGTGCAATTCTGTCATCCGGGCCCCAGCACCGGGGGCTGAGGGGAGGTCTTGAGATAAGAGGCCAGCCTGGGCTGCATAGCAAGGCCCTGTCTCCAGTTAAACAACAGGGATGGACAGGAACAGAAAGTGTGGCAGGACTTGGCTCGGAACCTGAAGCCTTGAGTCTAATCCCCAGTATTGTCAAGGGGAAAAAAAGCGCTGGCAACAAGGTGTTGCTATAGCCCGGGCTGGCCCTGGGCTGGCATTGCTTGCTTTTATGAGGCTTTCGAAGAGATGTCGATGGCTACGAAGGAAAGGGTCCCGAGTTCCTGGTGGGAAGTGCAGGGCAGAGGGATGGGGGAGGCTGGGGACCGCGTCGCCCTGCTGTGGTGGCTTCTTCCTGAAAGGTTGTTCTGCATTCTCTACTCTTAGAAAAGGGAATTTAGGAGTGTCGGAGAAACACGGGTGTGCAAAGATGGGTGAGAAAGCTCCAGGAGTAAGGAGGAGTTATGGAGGGCGCCCTGATGTCTGAGGAGGGGTTGTGAACGGTGCCTCTGTCTTCCTCCATGCCCTCCAGGGGTTTATGGAGGAGAGGGCAGACAGACCTGGAGCTCAGGTCCAGCTCCCTGCAATCTGCCCACACATGTGCCATCTCCTGTGTTGCCCCAGAAATCCACCATTGCTGCCAGGGGTCACGGGTGGCTTGGAGAGGTGCTTCCTAGTTGCTTGGTTGTGTGCCGGGCGCTAGGGCAGTGCCGCGCTGGAGCACTGTGGGCATGCACATCGGTGTGAGGTGCATCTCCTGTCCTGCTCACACAGGACTTTGATTTTCTTACTAATTTTTCATCTTCCTCGGTCATCTTGATGTTCTCTGTCATAATTGACAGGTGCAGCTATGTGTCTGCGTGTGTTTTCATCGTGCGTGTCGCCAGAGCTCACGGGGCTCCTGAGATCTTGGTGCTGAGGTTCCAGGTGTGTCCCTGTGCCTGGTTTCTGGTGGCCGCTTCACACACACCCAGGCATGCACTCACTGCGCTGCACACACAGGCACCTGACTGTTTGGAAGATATTGTGTCACCATACCATGGTTGTCGTGACTGACCGTGATGGGTGTCTGTGTGTGGTGAAGACGTGCTTAGGGCCCCGCGTGTACCATTGTGTGTGTGACTAAACCTGCAGCTAGACCCGCGGTCACCAGCCCACAGGCCTGGGCACTGAGGAAACCAGAGACAGCCCCTGCTGAAGTGCTGGGGAGGAGCCAGTGGTGCCATTCCCCCAGGACCCCAAGGAGGGCACCTCTCCAGCCCCTCGTGGTTCTGGGGCGTTCAAAGATGAGGCCCTCAGCCTGGCCACTTGCTGCTGTTTAAACAGTGTCCTCTCTTGTGCAGTGATAGCGTTGGTATGACCTGTTCTGCCTGTGCCCCTGAGCAGGCTGGGTCCCGAGCCCTGGCTCGTCTTCTTCCATTGTGGCTCTGATGGCTGTGAAGTTTATGGGATCTGAGTTAAATCCTTAAGTAGCCAGTGATATCGAACCACTCCTTGGAACTGTCAGTGATCCAAGCACAGTGGTTCTCATTTCTCTCCCCCTCTGTAAAGCCTTCAGTAATCTCAGATCATGTTGCAGTGTTACTGGTTTGGGGCCGGAGGTATGGCTTGGTGGTGGGCACCTGACATCCTGTCATGCTGACGAATCGCACGCACGCGTGCATGCGTGCGTGCGTGCGTGTGTTAGGAAACAAGTTTGGCTCGGAAGCTGTGTGCTGAGTGCGTGTGTCTGTCAAGGCGGAACACTGGTTGTCCAGCTTTTGGATGGGGACAGGGCTTCTCTTTGGACATTTGGCATAACCACTGGGTAGTTCAGCCCGTTTTTGCATATTCATATAGTTTTAGCCAGGCACTGGTGGCTCGTGTCTGTAATCAGGGGGAATGAGGTTCAAAACCAACCCAGGTAGGAAATGTTGAGATTCTTTTACCTCCAACTCACCACCAACATGCAGGAAGTAGAGCTGTGTCTTAAGTGGTAGAGTGCCAGACTTCGGCGTAGGCCCTGAGTTCAAGCCCTAGTACTAGCACCAAAAAAAAAAAAAGTTGAAAGCTTGTTTTAGTGGAGTTTGTGATTGGATCTGGTTGGATTTGGAACATTTACACAAAGGCCCAGCACTTGGCGAATGCCTGGAGGGGCATGGAGCCATTAGGAAGTCACCCTGGTCCCCTGGGAGGACATGGGCCTGCTTCGGAGGCAGCACGCTTTTTTGTTCTGCAAAACCATTTCCCCCCCAACAGAGTAAGTAGAGGAAAGAACTGAAGTCTAGATAAGTCCACAACTGTTCTGATGTCTGCATTCCAAGTCCATATGACTTGAAACACCAGAAGATTAGCAAATGGGCCAACTTCTTAATAGGATATGCAATATTTTATTGCAGATAAAACAGTCTTTATAGTTGTTGGAGGGATTTCATTAATTGCCAACAAAAGAAAGTGTCGTCAGCCATGTGGTGTTAGTATGCGCTGTTTCATTTGCAGGGGGCATGGATCCCAGGGCCCATTTTGATGGATGTTTGAGCCTTATCCCTGGCTTTGTGTTTGCAAATGTTTCTTAGAGAGGGTCCAGTCCTTCTCTCTCCCTCCCCGGAACCTGGGGTTACAGGCATGTGCTACCAAGCCTGGATTTCAACTGTGTTTTTAATATTTTGTAATTTTGTTGAATTGTTGTTTCACAGACTGTTCATGCTTTTTTCTGTTTCTGGTTGATGAGGTTGCCTTCATAAGATGCATTTGTATACTGCGTCTTTGTGTTCTCGACTAAGTGTGACTGGTCTAGACACTGAAGAGTGGCAGCTTTGCGTGTCCTCCGTGACTGGAGTTTGAGGGCACAGTCTTTGGAGAGTCACCCCAGGCCTAGGGGAAGAGGCCACAGCCACGTCTTGTGGGTGTGTGTCACATTCTCTGACCTGCTAGATGGTGTTTGCAGGGATGCCAACCTGTCCACAGAGGAGTCACTTCTGTGCAGGGGGCTTCTGGGGGCCGGGCTTCTGGGATGCATGCGTTTGCTGTGTACACCACGAAGCCCTGTTTCTTTCATCCTGTAGATTTTGTAGTGTTCAATGTATATGAAAAACTAGATGTGGTGGTGAGCGCCTGTGATCCCAGCACTCAGAAGGAAGAGGGCGGGGGATTGGGAGTTCCAGGTCATCTTGGGCTACTTAGTAAGAACCTGTCTCAGAAAAGTCCCCCACAAGGCTGGTGATGCAGCTCAGTAGGAGCATTGCTGAGCATGCGCACTGCCTGGGGTCTACCTCCAGCTTTGTGATATTGTGGTGCCATTTGGAGTGGCTACCTCCAGTAAAACATGTTCTGGGAAAACTAGAGTGAGATTGTAAGCAGTTACTGGGAGCTGAGGATGTAGTGTGTGGCAGCTCAGGTAATGGGCACATGTACACCTCACGCTGTGACAGTGGCAGGTGGTGAGAATGGCACTGAAAGTCTTCCGTGCTAAGCATGGAACCGGCAGTGGCTGTCGCCCTCTCAGCTGGTCCCCCAGTAATGACACTTTCCTTTCTTAAGATGACGACTATTCCCCACCCACCAAGAGACCAAAGAGCAGTGAGCCGCCGCCGCCGCCTGTGACCGAGCCGATCAATGCTGGCAAGCGGAAGGTGCGCGAGTTCAACTTCGGTAAGTCCTCCCACTTGGCTGCCGGCCACCCTGCTGCCCATGCCCAGAGGGTGCTGTGGACCGGGGCTGGGTTGTGACAGAACCCACACATTGCTGTCTTCCGGTGTTAACAGCACAAGCACACACTGATCACTTCTTTCTCTTAGCCTTTCCCGTTATCTGTATATAAAAGTGGTTTGGCTGGGCACTGGTGGCTCATGCTTGTAATCCTAGATACTCAGGAGGCTGAAATCTGAGGATCATGGTTTAAAGCCAGCCTGGGCAGGAAAGTCCGTGAGACTCTTATCTCCAATAAAAAAACCAGAAAACCAGAAGTGGCGCTGTAGCTCAAGTGGTAGAGCTCTTGTCTTGAGCTAAAGAGCTCAGGGACAGCAGCCCAGGGTTCAAGCCCCATGGCTGATCAAAAACAAAAAAACAAAAAGAAGAACAGTTTGCTATGTTGGCTTTTCATTTTCGCTCTGGTCACTACTGGCTGTGGATAGAAATGCACTGGAGACATGGGAGATTTCCTTTTGTACAAAGGGGTGCAGTGTCGTTCCTCCAGCCTGAGCGAGGCAGGCCTAAAAACAGGGCAGGCAGCTAGGTTCTTAGCCCAATCTAGACTATCCCTCTTCCTAATCAGGGAGTGAGTACCCATTCTAACTACAACTGATTACCAAGGTTAGAGAGGGACCTATTTAATTTTTTTCGAAGGTTTACATTTTTTTCATCGCAGATGGCTGGGTGGCTGTAGATACAGCTGGAGGAGGTTGAGGAAGTCCATGGAGACTTCCTACTCAGAAGGGGCCTTGCCCTTTTCTTTCTATCCATAAAGATTTCTCTTTCTACAGCTGGGCACCAGTGCTCAAGCCTGTAATCCCAGCTACTCAGGAGGCTGAGATCTGAGGATCACAGTTCAAAGCCAACCTGGGCAGGAAAATCCATGAGTCTTTTTTTTTTTTGGTTGATCGTGCAGCTTGAACTCTGGGCTTGGGCGCTGTCCCTGCGCTCTTCAGCTCAAAGTGAGCACTCTACCGCTTGAGCCACAGCGCCACTTCTGGTTTTCTAGTGGTTTATTGGAGATAAGAATCTCACGGAGGGTCTGAGAAGGTGGCTCAGTGGTAGAGTGCTTGCCTTGCATGGATGAGGCCCTGGATTCGATTCCTTAGCACCACATAAGCAGAAAAAGCCAGAAGTGGGACTGAGGCTCAAGTGGTAGAGCGCTAGCCTTGAGCTGAAGAGTTGAGGGACAGTGTCCAGGCCCCACGACCAAGAAAAAAAAGAAAAAAAAAAAGAGTCTCATGGAGTTTCCTGCCTGGGCTGGCTTTGAACCGCGATCCTCAGATCTCAGCCTCCTGAGTCGTTAGGATTACAGACATGAGCCACCAGCGCCTGGCTCCATAAGACTCTTACCTCAATTAACCACCAGAAAACCAGAAGTGGCGTTGTGGTGCAAATGGATAAGCACTTGCCTTGAGCTGTAGAGCTCATGGACAATGCTCAAGCCCAGAGTTCAAGCCCTGTGACCAACCAAAAAAATAAAAGATTTCGGACTGGGAAGGTGGCTCAGTGGTAGAGTGCTTGCCTTGCATGCATGATGCCCTAGGTTCGATTCCTCAGCACCACATAAGCAGAAAAAAAAAAGCCAGAAGTGGCACTGTGGCTCAAGTGGTAGAATGCTAGCCTTGAGCTGAAGAGCTGAGGGACAGCGCCCAGGCCCAGAGTTCAGGCCCCACGATCTCTTTCTAACAAGCAGCACACATGGTAGTTACATTGTTGTTCTTTTAACTCCTTTTTTTTTTGTCGGTCATGGGGCTTGAACTCTGGGCCTGGGCGCCGTCCCTCAGCTCTTCAGCTCAAGGCGAGTGCTCTACCACTTGAGCTACAGCGCCATTTCTGGTTTTCTGGTGGTTTATTGGAGATAGGAGTCTCACGGTTTCTCCTGCCCTGGCTGGCTTTGAACCGTGATCCTCAGATCTCAGCCTCCTGAGTAGCTAGGATTACAGGCGTGAGCCACCAGCACCCGGCTTTTAACTCCTTTAATATAAGGCTTTGTCTCCCTATGCTGACTGGCTGGTGGTCATGAGCAGCACACCTGGCAATCATCATTCATTCATTCCTCTCAGGGCAGCTGGTCACAATAGTCAAAAAAGCACATAACTCCAGGAAATACTAATAGACAAGACAGAGGCACCCAGCCCAGGGCTTCATGCAGCCCTTCCACCTGGCCCCAGTGCCAGTATGGTGGACACAACACCATGGACGTGCAGGCTGTGTAGTCTGAGTTCATTTCCACACCTGAACCAGGCTGCAGAGGCTCCTGAAGACCTTGGTGGCTTCTCTTCCTCTTTTTTTTTTGGTCGATTGTGGGGCCTGAACTCTGGGCCTGGGCTCTGTCCCTCAGCCCTTCAAATCAAGGCTAGCACTCTACCACTTGAACCACAGTAGAACTTCAGTTTTCTGAGTGGTTTATTAGAGATAAGAGTCTCATGGACTTTCCTGCCTAGACTGGCTTTGAACCGTGATCCTCAGATCTCAGCCTCCTGAGTAGCTATGCGTAATTTGTAGGCATCTTTGTTTTTGTTTTTGCCTGAGGTTTCAGAAATTAACTAGAAAGAGGCAGTTGTGTGAATGTGCTGGACTCCAGTGGCCCATGGGACATGGAAACACTAGGAGGGGCACTGCCAAGCGCTGTGGGTCTGGATGTGCAGTGCAGGCTGCCTAAAGGTCATTCCATCCTTGGTTATTAAGAATTAACTTTTTTGTCAATTTTCAGAGAAATGGAATGCCCGAATTACTGACCTACGTAAACAAGTTGAAGAGTTGTTTGAGAGAAAATATGGTATGTGTAAATAAGTGCAGGGATCGTGTCGTGTCTGTTATGCGCATTTGACGGTGGGATTGCTGCTCACGGCTGAGGGTCCTGTGGGCTCAGCACTCACCTGCCAGGAATGTGCCATGCCTCCACATCACTCTGAGCACGGGCAACCTGGAGTTTCTGCAGTGCCACAGTTCTGAGGAAAAGTTCTGTGTAATTCTGTGGAGCCTGTTGTGTCCCATGCAAGGGTGTACCAGGCCCTGGACACAGAGGCCTGACACCCCCCCCCCAAGTGAGTTGATGTAGTGGAGGTGCCCATGGTTCCTGGCTGGTGGCTCATGTGTCCCAAAGTAAACGTTATATAAATGGCAGTAAGAAAAGAAGCTTTGGCCAGGCCCAAAGAAGCATAGGTCCCATGGTTTCCCTTATTTGCAATAACTAGTATATGTCTGAGTCAAGCAGAAAAGGTCAGATAAGTTGATGTTAGGGGAATGAACCCCAAGATAAGTATTCAAATTTTTTTTTTTTTTTTTTCCTTTCATGCAATTGTTTCTAACATATTTATAAGATGATTTCTTTGTTGCTTTGTATGTCCCTCCCCCACGGTATAATCCATGTTTTCACTGTATTTGATGTTGGTATAATTTGTGGAGGGGAAGGGAAAAAACAAATCGTTTAACGAGAGATACAGGTGGACCCATTGCAACAATGAGATGTACAAGTTGTTATGTCGAAAAATGAACTTTACAACTTTGGTGGGAGGTGGGGGGAGGATCGGATCGGGGGAGGGGGGAGTATGAGATGGGATGGGAAGGGGAAACAAAGAGGAGGCAACAATACCTGATAAGAAATGTACTCGTTATCTTGCCCATGTAATTGTAACTCCTCTGTATGGTATTCTCACAATAAAAGAAAAGAAAAGAAGCTTCAGACATAGCCGTTTATATGTGGCCTCTGGGCGTGGGCAGACCAAGCAGGCTCTGTAGCTGACTCAGGCCTTTCCTTGTCCAGCTTCGGGCACTACTGCTGTGCTGGGCATTCCTCACGGCTATCAACATGCAGGATTGTGGGAACCTGACCTGTCTCACTCAGGCCTGGCTGAACCAGTGCTGGCTCCCTGGCTCTCAGGATGCTTGTCCTGGTTTATCTCGTTACCATAGCTACAGGAATAGAGATAAAAGTCACACAGCAAAGAGTGGTGCATGTTGGGTTATCATTCTTTTCCTGGCCTGCCTTTTAATGATGATCTCTTTCTTTCTCTTTTTATCCTTCAAGCTCAAGCTATAAAAGCCAAAGGTCCTGTGACGATTCCATACCCTCTTTTCCAGTCCCACGTTGAAGACCTTTATGTAGAAGGCCTTCCTGAGGGGATTCCTTTCAGAAGGCCGTCCACCTACGGGATCCCCCGCCTCGAGAGGATCCTGCTCGCAAAGGAGAGGATTCGTTTCGTGATTAAGAAGTAAGCCTTTCCAGCTCTTAGCTTTGTTCTTCTGCTTGCCTGCCTGCCTTCCCTCCTTCCCTCCTTTTCCTCTTCCCTCCCTTCCTCCATGCCAGTCCTAGGACTTGGGCATTGTCATTGTCCTTGAGCTTTTGTACTCAAAGCCTAGTGCTCTACCACTTTGAGCCACAGCTCCACATCCAATTTTTTTGAGATAAGACTCTCAAGGACTTTCCTGCCCTGCTTGGCTGTGAACTGAGATCCTCAGATCTCAGCCTCCTGAGTAGCTAGGATTATAGACATGAGCCACTGGTGCTGGGCTTTTATTTTATTATTTTATTTTTATTTTTTTGGTTGTGTGGCTTGAACTCTGGGCCTGGGCGCTGTCCCCTGTGCTCTTCAGCTCAAGGCGAGCGCTCTACTGCTTGAGCCAAAGCACCGCTTCCGGTTTTCTAGTGGTTTGTATTGGAGATAAGAGTCTCATGGAGTTTCCTGCCCGGGCTGGCTTTGAACCATGATCCTCAGATCTCAGCCTCCTGAGTAGCTAGGATTACAGGCGTGAACCACCGGCACCCAGCTTTAATTTTTTTTTTTTTAGTTGACAAATTAATACACATTTTCTTCTAGCATTTTTGTATTTTGTGGAGGATTGTTGAGTCAGAACTTGAGCACCAGGTGGGCCATCCCGGCCCATCATTTCCCTTGCTGCTGTGTGCTGAAGGCAGTGGCGTGTTGGTAGGTGTAAAACTTTGAAAGCATATTTGTGTGTGTGGTTGTAAAAGTGAAGGCAGAGCATGATGTGGGGGTCAGGGGACTCCGGTGAGCTGTGTGGGGTCCTGAGTGCTGCCGCTTCCTTTTGTGGAGGCCACGGTGAGGTGTTTGGTGGGAGTGCAGCCCTTCCCGCCGGGGCTTCAGCCAGGCTCTCGCTGGCTCTTCCATGCGGGCCACTGGCTGCTTGCTAGTTAATAAGAGACGGATTCGCGAGGATGTTCCTGTGGGCTGGCTGCGGCTGCCAGTGCTCCATGCCTCAGTTCCTCAGTAGCTGTCACTACAGGCCCAAGCCACTGCACCAGCACAAAAGGACTCCTACTCATCAGGGCCCTGGTGGGGATGAGAAGAAGAGGAGGGCGGGAATGGCTGCTGTGGCTCCGTCTCCACTCCCATTTCAGCGCGCACTTGGCACCTAGTTCCAGACCAGGGAGCAGAGTGTAGCTGCCTGTTTGCGGCACAAAAGTCCAGGACATGGCCGTGGAGAAGCCCAAAGATGGGCTGAGGTCTTGTTGAAATGCACAGCCTGCGCCTTTGATGTTGTCCATTGTGTGGGGCTGAGTGGCCATAGTCACCCCAGTGAGGCGGCCACCGCTGCACACAGGCACCCCGTGGAGAGAAGCTGCAGCTTCTGAAAGCTTTGTGCCAGTCACGTGCCTCAACCCCCCACCCCCGCCGCCCCAGTGTGATGCCCTTGGGAGCTTGTCTTCTCATTTGTGATACAACGCTGCAGTGGCCAATTCTTGCAGCTGGTGGCCTGTGACACACACACAGACACACACACAGACACACACACACAGGCACATACAGATACACAGACACACACACAGACACAGACACACACACACACAGAGACGCACACACACACACACACACACACACACACACACACACACACACACACACACACACACACACACACACACACACACACACACACACACACACACACACACACACACACACACACTACTCTGGAGGCTGAGATCTGAGTATCTTGGTTTGAAGCCAGTACAGACAGGAAAGTCCGTAAGACTCATCTCCAGTTAACCACCAAAAAGCCAGAAGTGGAGCTGTGGCTTAAGTGGTAGAGTGCTAGCCTTCAGCAAAAAAAAAAAAAAAGGCAAAAGGACAGTGTCCAGGTCCTGACTTCAAGCTCTAGTACTGACGCACACACATAAAAATGTGCAGTGAGGGCTGGGAAGATGGCTCAGTGATAGAGCACTTGCCTTGCATGCCTCAGGCCCTGGGTTCGATTCCCCAGCACCACGTAAGCAAAAAGAAAAAAGCCGGAAGTGGCGCTGTGGCTCAAGTGGTAGAGTGCTAGCCTTTTTTTTTTTTTTAGTTTTTTTTTTGGTCCGGTCATGGGGCCTGAACTCTGGGCCTGGGCACTGCCCCTCAGCTCTTCAGCTCAAGGATAGTGCTCTACCACTTGAGCCACAGCGCCACTTCTGGCTTTTTTCTTTTTGCTTATGTGGTGCTGAGGAATCGAACCCAGAGCTTCATGCATTGCAAGGCAAGCGCTCTACCACTGAGCCACCTTCCTAGCCCTGAGTGCTAGCCTTGAGCTGAAAAGCTGAGGGACAGCGCCCAGGCCCAGAGTTCAGGCCCCACGACCGGACCCAAAAAAAAAAAAATGCAATGAGCTGGGTGCTGGTAGCTCACACCTATGATCCTAGCTACTCAGGAGGCTGAGCTCTGAGGATCCCAGTTCAAAGTGGTAGATCCTTGAGCTGAAGAGCTCAGGGACAGCACCTAGGCCTAGAGTTCAAGTTCCACAGCCAACCCCCCCCCCAAAAAAAAAAAAATCTGCATTGTATTAAAAACTGGCATTTAGAGAAAACACAGATGACCCTACAGGGTCGTGTCTTTGATGTGTCTTTAATGTGTTGGTGGATGCGTGGAGGAGGTTAGTTTGGGGTGTGACAGGGGAGACTACAGGCCTCGGGCAGCATGGCTGTGAGAGCAGTGGAGACCTTGTGCTTAGCCTCTGTGCTACTTGGGGAGTGAGCGCTCCGTGCCCGGAACCAGGATGGCCTCGGCCGTGTGCTCACTGCCTGCCTCTGCTTTCAGACATGAGCTGCTCAACTCAACTCGGGAAGACCTGCAGCTGGACAAGCCTGCGTCGGGAGGTACGTGTCAGCCCGGCGCCTTTGGTGCTTCAGCACACAGGTCTTCTGGAGCTGCCCGTGTGGAAGGATCTCCCCTCCTGGCCACCCTGGCTGTGGGCCACGGGTTCTCAGTGCTATTCAGTCTGTGAGGAACCTCGGCTGCCTGTTAGCTCTTTGAGAGTGAGGGAAGGTCTGCCCTTTTTGGATAGAAAATGTGTTACCTGACAGAATGCATCTGCCAGCTCATTATCTGTCTCCATTCTTTAGTATACAGTGTATCTAGCACATGACAAAAGATTTATTTAGGGTTTTTTTCCCCCCAGTCCTGTAGCTTGAACTCAGGACCTGAGCACTGTTGCTGAGCTTTTTTGCTAAAGACTAGCACTCTACCATTTGAGCCACAGCTCTAGTTCCAGTTTTCTAGTGGTTAATTGGAGATAAGAGTGACAGGGATTTTTCTGCTCTGGCTGGCTTCAAACTTCATTCCTCAGGTCCCAGCCTCCTGAGTAGGAGATAGCATTATGCTTTTTAGACCATGAAGCCTGGACTAGAATAATGAGCTCATCCCATGCCTTTGAATGAAATACAGACATGATGTGCTTCGTGTATTTGCTCTGGCATAATATGGGGGTGGAGGAAGCACCCCAAACCTGTCTCCCCACTTTTCGTGGTAGAAATGTTCTGCCCTTGAGTAAACAGTTTATTTCCTGACCTTATTTACTGTGGAGCCCAGTGTGGGGTGTTTGCAGAGTGCCCTGAGCTGTGAGGTGAACCCTCGCAGGGCTTGTGCGCCTGGCAGCGTTGCCAGCGCCTCTGAGCAGAGCCTATGTCCCACAGTCAAGGAGGAGTGGTACGCCAGAATCACCAAGTTGCGCAAGATGGTGGACCAGCTGTTCTGCAAGAAGTTTGGTGAGTCCGTGGCTGACGCTGCTTCCTACCAAACACACATCCCTCACATTCACTTATCTTTGCCCTCCCTCCCTCCCTCCCTCCCCCTTTTCCTCCCTCCCTCCCTCCCTCCCTCCCTTCCTGCTTCCTTGCTTCCCTGCTTCCTTGCTTCCCTGCTTTCTTGTTGGTCATGGGGCTTGAACTCTGGGTCTGGCGCTGTCCCTCAGCTCTTCAACTCAAAGCTAGCGCTCAACCTCTTGAGCCACAGCGCCACTTCCAGTTTTCTGAGTGGTTTATTAGAGATTAGAGTCTCACGGACTTTCCTGCCTGGGCTGACTTTATTTTATTTTATTTAACATTTTTTTGTCTATTCTATGTTATTCTAGCATCAGGATATTTATTTATTTTTAATTTTAATTTATATTTATTTATTTATTTTGGGTCCGGTCGTGGGGCCTGAACTCTAGGCCTGAGTGCTGTCCCTCAGCTCTTCAGCTCAAGGCTAGCACTCTACCACTTGAGCCACAGCGCCACTTCCGGCTTTTTTTCTTTTTGCTTATGTGGTGCTGAGGAATTGAACCCAGGGCCTCATGCATGCAAAGCAAGCGCTCTACCACTAAGCCACCTTCCCAGCCCCACTGGGCTGACTTTAAACTGTAATACTCAGATCTCAGCCTCCTGAGTAGCTAGGAGTACAGTCATGAGCCACCGGTGCCCGGCTATTTATTATAAATATAAATATATGTATATATTATTGTAAAGACTCTGTACAGAAGGGTTACGGTTACAGGAGAAAGATAATGAGTACATTTCCTATCAAGCATTGTTAACCCTCCATTACCATCCCTTCTTTCTTTTAATTAAAAAAATTTCCCTTCCTTCCTTCCTTCCTTACTTCCTTCCTTCCTTCCTTCCTTGTGCCAGTCCAGGGCCTGGGTGCTGTCCTTGAGTTTTGTTTTTTTTTGGGGGGTCCGGTCGTGGGGCCTGAACTCTGGGCCTGGGCGCTGTCCCTCAGCTCTTCAGCTCAAGGCTAGCGCTCTACCACTTGAGCCACAGCGCCACTTCTGGCTTTTTTCTTTTTTTGCTTATGTGGTGCTGAGGAATTGAACCCAGGGCCTCAGCATACAAGGCAAGCACTCTACCACTGAGCCAACCTCCCAGCCCTGTCCCTGAGGTTTTTTTGCTCAAGACTAACACTGTACCACTGGAGCCACAGCTCCATTTCCAGCTTTTTAGTGATTAATTCATGGACTAACCTGCCTGAGCTGGCTTTGGACCATGATCCTCAGAGGTCAGCCTCCTGAGTAGTTACTGGACTGCAGGGCCTAAGCTTCAGTTTGTGAGGCATGAAGTTAATCCAGGCTGGCCAGACTTCTTTATGGAAACTGCCAGGCCTCATAGTGTGGTTGGGAGCGAGACCCAGCACAGTCCAGAGACATTACCACCCCTCTTCCATATCGTCTGCTCTTGCTTTTCCGATAATACTTATTGGTTTGTTGTTCATAGAAAGCTTGCTAGAAATAGGTTTATTTTCTTTCTTTTTTTTTTTTTGGTCAGTCGTGGGGCTTGAACTCTGGGCCTGGGCACTGTCCCTGCGCTCTTTGCTCAAGGCTAGTGCTCTACTGCTTGAGCCACAGTGCCACTTCCAGTTTTCTAGTGGTTTATTGGAGATAAAAGTCTTACAGACTTTCCTGCCCAAGCTGGCATTGAACTGTGATCCTCAGATCTCAGCCTCCTGAGTAGCTAGGATTACAGGCATGAACCAGTGGTGCCCAGCTAGGTTTATTTTCCTATTAAGCAGAATCTCTAGACTTACATTCACTCCAGGCGTGAGGCCAGCCCTGGCCGCGTGCGCTCTGATTTTCTGGGCATGCTTCCTCTGAAAGCTGGGGTTTATGACATGCTGATTACTGCCTGTGCCCCATGTATGGCCACTGAGAGGGAGGAGGAGGAAGGTGACAGGCACCTTCATTGTGGAAGGAGAATGAGACTAGGGAGCAAGGAAATCCCATGACCTTTCACTGAGGCACTAGCTGTGAGCGCCCACTCGAGGGCGGGGCGGGGCGGGGCGGGGCGGGGCCGGGCAGCCAGGCCTGCATCCGCACAGGTCTGGGGCAGCTGTCTGCGTGTGCCCTTCCTGGTGCTGTTGGGTGTAGTTTTGATGTGGGACTTACTGAATATGTCTCCAGCTTTTCTTTTTTCTTCCCTCTAATTCTTTCTGAAGTAGTCTCACCCTTTGCCTGTGTCAGCCTGGTCCCTTATCTTCCTGTTGGTGCTTTGTAGCTGCTGGGATAGTGGCTACTCCAGCCGTTAACTGAGATGGGGTCTTGAGGACACCCCACCCCAGGCCTTGATGATCTTCATTCCTTCCTCCCAGCTAGCTAGGGTTGTAGGTGTGAGCCACTGGCACCAGCTCATTTTTATTTCTAGTTACAGTCTTTATAGATATTCAAAAGTAGTGGAAAATAGTTCAGTGAACCCCAAATACCAGCTGTTAGTGTCCTGTGCTGTGTTTCCTCCTGTGCCGGAGGCAGAGCCCCAGCTCTTCCTTCCGTTTCAGTGTGTGTGGGCTTGGGATGCCCCCTCCCCCGCTCGCCCACACGTGGTCACCCGTGGAGCTTCCTTGTGGAGCTTGGTGCACACAGGCTCACGTGTGGGCTCCATTTGCTGCGTTGTGATGGAACCGCTTGTGTTGCTGTCTTCGATCTCACGCATGAGTTCTTTGCAGATAGCAGTTTCCTTTAGAAATTAGGGGCCTGATGGGGCCCCAAGCTTACAGGAGGGTTAGCAGCAGAGTTCCACTGTGGCAGCCAGCCTGGGCTAGGGACAAGACTAGCTAGCCGTCAGCATTTGCTGTGCATTGGCCAGCAGCCCCTGTGTGTTGTGCTCACCTGAGCCTCCTGGCTCTCCTGGCACCTTTCTGTCTGCTGAGTATGAGTTGTGTGCATCTGTGTGCGTGCGCATGCGTGTTTGCATGTGCATGTGCACATGTGTGGTGACCACCCCTCCTCATTGTTCCCCCAGCGGAGGCCTTGGGCAGCGGCGAGGCCAAGGCAGTGCCCTACCAAAAATTTGAGGCCCATCCGAACGACCTGTATGTGGAGGGGCTCCCTGAGAACATCCCCTTCCGGAGCCCCTCCTGGTACGGGATCCCCCGGCTGGAGAAGATCATTCAAGTCGGCAACCGGATCAAGTTTGTGATTAAAAGGTAAGCCCTGTCTTCTGCAGTGCCGCGTCTCCTAGCGGTGGGCTTTGCTGTGGTCAGAGCGGCGCCCTATCGCTGCACATGTAGGCTTCCTTTAGGACTGGCTATGAGGGCTGTGCCAGGCCCTGCCCCTGCCCCTGCCAGGGCCATCAGCTGGCATGGTGTTTCTCATGTGTGTGGTGTGCCTTATTCTTCCCCCATCCTGCTTGCCAGTGTGTCCTGTGGCAGGCAGAGAATGGGGGGGGGGCATGCGGACTCCCTCCTGTCCCTTGCATTTGCATGCTGGCCAGGCGGCTGTTTTTTTCATTTTTCCCTTAGCTTTTGCACTCATGGCTGATGCTCTACCACTTGAGTGTCACAGCTTGATTTTTGGCTGTTTTGATAATGAATTGGAAAGTCTCAGAGACTTTCCTGCCCTTGTGGGCTTTGAACCTGGATCCTGGATAGCTAGGTTTATAGGCGGGAGCCCCCCGTGCCCAGCCTAGGCAGGTTCTTGAGGCGTGTTTTGCAGGCAGTCAGGGTGGCATAGGAGCAGAGCTCTGTCTCAGCTCAGTGGTTGAATGCTGCTGCTGGGCCCTTGTCAGGGAGGATGGGGCCTGTGAGCTGCTGGTTTGGGTTCAGAAGGAGTGGTAGTTTTCCACTGGTCAGCATCAACAGCCCTTGTGGTGTCCGTGGAACCCCACCCGAACTGTCCACACGGTCCACTGTCACTGCTGCAGTGACTCTGTATGCGGCTGTGTGCAGGCCGTAACGCACCCATTCATGTTTTCACAGACCAGAACTCCTGACTCACAGCACAACTGAAGTTACTCAACCAAGAACAAATACACCAGGTAAGGGAAAGGAGCAGATGGGCTTTTCCCTCGGGTGTGAGGGTTTCTTGTCTTTTATGCTTATATCCATGGAATCCCCGCACTCCCCAGTCCTGTGTGGGGCTTGGGGCGGGCCTCTATGGGAAATGAGATCGCAAGGCCTGTACAAGTTACCAAGGCTGCCCGCCACGCCCACTGCCTGTGGCCGACCTGGCATTTCTGCTAGTACAGCTCTGGTGATGGCCTCACCTTCCCTGAGGCATGGGCTCCTGGGTGCTTCCCGCCAGCCGTTGCACCTCGCTCTGATGGAGAACGGGCTGTGTGTGGGGTCCGGCTTAAGGATGATCTTGGGTTGGTCCCAATAAGCAGCGGCATTCATTCCTCCACATTTGCTCTCTAGTCAAGGAAGACTGGAATGTGAGAATCACCAAGCTTCGGAAGCAAGTGGAAGAGATCTTTAACTTGAAATTTGGTATGTGAAAGCCAGGGCTTATGTCTTTGTTTCCAGACAAATAGAGGCCGTGTTTCGACACTGGAGAAGCTGCACAGCACTTTTCACACAGACATGGCTTTAGTCTATGTCCTTTAGACTCGTCCTTCCCACTCTGTGTCCTGGCAGGGAGGGCGGGCAGCGGGTCACGTCTCCAGTCCACACTGGGCACTGGGATGTAGTTGGTGCTGCAAAGCATATTGGTTTGAACTTGGATTTGCTGACCACTTTCCTGCAGTGCTGTCCTGAGGGTATGGGGGTGTCAGTGCCCTGAGTCTTGTCCCAGGCACAGAAGTGAGGGGTGCAGAATTCCGGGAGGACCTTCTTTTCTCTCCCTCGTTTTAACTAGCTGGTTTGCTCACCTATTGGTTCTAGTTTGTTGAGGCAGGGTCTTACTGTGTAGCCCACACTGGCCTCAGACTCATTCTCCTGACTCAGTTTCTATTACTAGCAAGACAGACATGGCCCCATTCCAGCTTGTGTCCTTTACTTAAGTCACTGGTGTTGGTTGACTTTTGGGTCCGTGGTCAGGAGTCTTCAGTCCTCTGTTGCTGGCCACTGGCCTGGTGAGCGCCGGTGGAACCACGCTGGCTCTTGGAGGACACTCAGCCTTAATTCATTTTGTCCGAGCAGAGCGTTACCAGCTGCAGAGCTGTCTGTCCTGTGGTAGAGATGTCCAGCCCCTCTGCGCAGTACTTGGGTGCCAGCTCTGCTGGATGCACAGAGTATATGCCTCAGTCCTGCGCCCGGCTGCTGGGTTGTGGACAGCTTGAGTGTGAACTTAACACCCTCTGTTTCCTGGCAGCCCAGGCCCTTGGGCTCACGGAGGCTGTGAAGGTGCCGTACCCTGTGTTTGAGTCCAATCCCGAGTTCCTATATGTGGAGGGCCTGCCAGAAGGGATCCCCTTCCGAAGCCCCACCTGGTTTGGGATCCCACGCCTAGAGCGGATCGTGCGTGGGAGCAACAAAATCAAGTTTGTGGTGAAAAAGTAAGCACTCTGCCCGCAGCAGTCATGGGAGGTGGAGTAGGAGGAAGCCTTGTGTCCCAGCATGCCCAGGTCAGATGCGCCCTTATACTCAGTGCTCTGGTGCTCCTTTTTTCCTAGGCCAGAGCTAGTTGTGTCCTACCTGCCTCCAGGAATGGCCACCAAGATAAACACTAAAGGTAAGCCCTGAGGCCCGCTCTAGGCACCATCCCACCCCGGATCAGCCTTCCTTTCCTCCTCCCAGCCTCCACCCTGTAGGGCCCGTGTCCCACCTCTGCTGTGTCCGCGCCTCTGAGTCATTTCATGCCATGCAGTTTCTGTGTGTTCCTTCACATTCTATCGAGGATTTCCTGTGTGCAATCCTCTGTTCTGTTTTCACAGCTTTGATGCTCATGTGGAGGATTACACTACCAATTTAATTCTTCAGGTTTCTGTGAAAAGAGCCAAACTCTATGCATTTTACCATGTGCTTTTGTACAGCGTCCCCTTGTGAGTTGTATGGTGAACGCAAGTAACCTTGTGCTTACCTTGTAGCACTGCAGTCCCCTAAAAGACCACGCAGCCCCGGGAGTAACGCGAAGGTTCCTGAGATCGAGGTGACAGTGGAAGGTAGGCCTGCGCCGCGCCGGCTCCCAGGTGCAGTGCTGGCCGGTCCTGCCACACCGTCTCCACTTCTAGTAGAAAACAGAAAGTACTCTGGACCTCATCTCAGTAAACGCTGGGTACAGGGGTGCCCACATGTCAGCCTAGGAGGATTGAGGTCTAGGCTGGCTTGGTCATAAATTCCAGAGCCTAAACAAGACAGCTACAAGTGAGAAGGCCTGAATGTGACCCGGGTGGGAAAGCACTGCCCTGCAGGCCAGGGCCGGGCGATCCTGGTCCAGGCTTTGGAGCCTCGCCTGGAGATGGGCTTCATCTAGTACGAGTAAGCAACAGCGCAGATTGCAGCCCAGTGCTGGTGGCTCACACCTGTAAATCCTAGTTACTCAGAGCTGATGATCACAGTTCAAAGTCGTCCTGAGTAGAAAATCAAATCCATGAGACTCTTACTTTCATATAAACACCAAAAAGAAGCCAAAGATGGGGTTATGTCTCAAGCAGTAGAGAACTAGCCTTATGTAAAAAAGCTAGGGGCAGCACCTAGGCCCTGAGTTCAAACCCCCAGGATCAGCATATGCGTTGCCAACGTCCCAGGAATTCATGTGCCCTCAGTGCCAGAGGCCAGAGCAGGTGTAGCGCTGAAGTGATTGGTCCATGGGAAGCGGGGGAGGAAGCCTGGGCAGGAGGGTGGCCCAGCAGTGAATCTTGAGTACACCGAGTTCAGAGCAGTAACAGCCACCACTGAGGCTGGAGAGTGCTTGCGCAGACATCGCTGCCATGAGTGACAGGCTCCCAAGAGCAAAGAGGGGCCTCGATCCTCACAGAAGACACAGCCTCCCTTAAAGCCCCCAGACACTAAGGAAGGTGGAGACATGGCTGACTGTGGCCTGCATGGCACTGGTTCTGTACTGGAGGCCTGCGAGGAAGTAGTAGTTTGTGGATGCTAAGTGTTGATGTAGACCATTTCTACTGCAGTGTCAGGAATTGTACAAACAGCATATCTCAGAAATACGTGAATTCAGCCCTGCATGGCACACACCTGTCATCCCAGCTACTCAGGAGGCTGAGATCTGAGGATTGTGGCTTGAAGCCAGCCCAGCAGAAAAGTTTGGTGAAGCAAAAACTAGCTGCAAGTGGAGGTGTGGTAGTTTCCATAAAAACATCCAAGTGAGAGCGCAGGGCTCGAAGTACCAGCGCCCAAAAACTTGAATTGAAGATCCCATGAAATCCTCCTTGGCATAACTAGTGTCAGCTAATCAGAAGCAACTCAGTGACACACTTCTAGAAACCTTTTCTATCTGTATTTTAAACTGCTAGTCTCTGTTGAAGCAGAATGTCTGCACCGGATGGTCTGGTTGCAGGGGTGGAGTGGGGGATGTGTATGGTATGCATGCACATTGCCCCAAGCTCTGCCCCGCCATGGAATGCTGGTGGCAGCTCACCCTGGCATTGGCTTAGTGGCTCAAAGACGATGGGCCCCTCTAGCACCCCGGAAGCCCTGTGGTGTCCTTCAGACTTTTGTCTGACTGCGGTTCAGACAAGCTCTCCCTGTGTAGGCTGACCTTGAACTCCTGATACTCCTGCCCTGCCTCCCTCTGCTGGGACCCCAGCCCAGCATGTGTCCAGGCCATGAGACTGGGGAGAGGGCTCTCGGATGTCTGCTTAGCACTGGCTGCCCAGGATGCCCTGCTGGCCTGGCGTAGCTACTTTAAGAGTCGAGTGGCCCATGTCAGGTCATGACTAGCCACCCGCAGGGCTGTTTCTGTGGGCCTCCCACAGGGCAGTGGGCGTCCGCTCCCCCCAGCACGGGCCACTCTCCCGAGACTCGGAGAATTGCTTCTGCATTCATTCTCTTGGCACTGGTTTGTTTCCACTGATTGGTTGTCTCCAGAGATCCTCCGAGTGGCCGTGGTGGGGCCCCTGCCTGCTGTGCTGGGCTGGGCTGTGCTTGCTCCTAGTCTGGGCAGCTGGGCATTTTGTTGTTGTTGTTGTTGTTTTGTTGGTCGTGGGGCCTGAACTTGGCCTGGCGCTGTCCCTCAGCTCTTCAGCTCAAGGCTAGCGCTCTACCATTTGAGCCACAGCGCCACTTCTGGCTTTTTTCTGCTTATGTGGTGCTGAGGAATCGAACCCAGGGGCTCATGCTTGCGAGGCAAGCGCTCTACCACTGAGCCACCTTCCCAGCCCGCAGCTGGGCTTCTTTGGAGTAAAGAGTCCCATGTCCCTCCCTGGAGGGCAGTTGGGAGCCCCTCTGTCACTTGGGGACTGCGGAGGAAGGGATGTGGGCTGAGGCGTGAAGCAGCAGTCAGGCCAGTGAAGAGCTCTGCCAGAGGAGGGAGGCAGAGCGCATGTGGGTGGAGGCTGTGGGGCTCACAGGACGCCATGCCCAGAGGTTTGGCTTTGTGTTCTGGGTCTGGGAAGGCATGCACAGTAAAACAAAATTGAACTATGGTGATGGTGACCTCTTCTCACTTTCCTCAGGCCCCAATAACAACAGTCCTCAGACCTCTGCCGTGCGGACCCCGACCCAGACCAATGGCTCCAATGTTCCCTTCAAGCCCCGAGGCAGAGAATTTTCCTTTGGTAACACTTTTGCATTCTTTCCATCTCTTGCTGGAAGGTCAGTGCTGTCAGTAGACACCTGCTAGACAGTTCCATGGTCCAGCTGGCCTGTGGCCTCTGCCGCTCCCTTCTCAGCCTGGGCCCTGCCAGTGGCCACACATGCACCTGCTGGGCACGGTGGTGGGGAGCAGGCGTGTCCTTTCGTGCAGCATGGGCCATTGCGTTATGGCCGGTGCCGCAGTCAGGATCACAGTCAGGCAGAGTTAGCGTCGGGTGACGCAGCTGGCGCTCCTGCTGTCTCTGACACTCACCTCTGTCTTCTCCCCACACAGAGGCTTGGAATGCCAAAATTACCGACCTGAAGCAGAAAGTTGAAAATCTTTTCAATGAAAAATGTGGTAGGTTTATTTATTTTTAACATTATTGAGATAGGAAGTCATTTTTTTGGCAAATGAAGGCAACAGAGCAAAATAGTTCACTTGAAGCTGGGCACTGGTGGCTCACGCCTGTAATCCTAGCTACTCAGGAAGCTGAGAGCGGAGGATCACTGTTCAAAGCCAGCCCAGGCAGGAAAGTCTGTGAGACTCTTATCTCCAATAAACCACCAGAAAACTAGAAGTGGCGCTGTGGCTCATGTGGTAGAGTGCTCACCTTGAGCTGAAGAGCCCAGGGACAGCACCCTGGCTCTGAGTTCAAGCCCTACCACCGACAAAAAAAAAAAAAAAGTTCATGTTTAAATGTGGGAGATTTTAAATGCACCAAGTTATGAAAGAACATTTTCTCCAACCAAAGTGAGTGTGTTTTATGGTGCACGCATTAAGGTGGCTACAGAACGGAGGGTGGCTCTCATATGGGGTGCTGAGCACTATCTCTACTCTGTAGGGGAGGCGCTTGGTCTGAAGCAGGCGGTGAAGGTCCCCTTCGCGCTCTTCGAGTCCTTCCCAGAGGACTTCTATGTGGAGGGCCTGCCTGAGGGGGTGCCTTTCCGCAGACCTTCCACCTTCGGCATTCCCCGGCTGGAGAAGATCCTGCGCAACAAGGCCAAGATCAAGTTCATCATCAAGAAGTGAGGGGTGGGCCGGGCTGCACTGGGCTGAGCCATGGGGAGGGGTGAGGTGGCAGTCACATGAAATTGGCTGCCTGTTTTTTGTTTTGTTTCGTCTTGTTTTGCCAGTCCTTGGGCTTGAGCTCAACGCTGGTACTCTACCATTTGAGTCACAGCACTACATCCAGCTTTTTCTGTTTATGTGGTACTGAGGAATCGAACCCAGGGCTTCATGCATGCTAGGCAAGCACTCTACCACTGAGCCACATTCCCAGCCCTGGCTGCCTGGTTTTATAGTAAGTTAAAAGACATGAGGGAGGGCATATGGAGAGTTAATACGTTTATGCTGCAAATCCTGCATCCATCATGTTTAGCTGACTGGTCAGATGTTTGATTTTTGTGTTGGTACTGAAGCTTGAACTCAGACCTCACACTCTCGCTCAAGGTTCATGCTGGCTCTACCACTTGAACCACAGTTCCACTTCTAGCTTTTTGTTGGTTCATTAGCAGAGTCTCTCTGTTTTGTTTGTCCGGGCTGCCTTCAACTGGGAGAGTCTCAGATCTTGGCTTCCTGACTAGTCTGGATTACAGGCATGAGCCACTGGTGCCTGGAAGGTGGTTCCTGTTTTTTTGTTTCTGTGTTTGTTTGTTTGTTTGTCTGTCTGTTGTGGGTCTTGAACTCTGGGCCTGGGCGCTGTCCCTCAGCTCTTCAGCTCAAGGCTAGCACTCTACCACTTGAGCCACAGTGTCACTTCTGGTTTTCTGGTGGTTAATTGGAGGTAAAAGTCTCATGGACTTTTCTGCCCAGGCTGGCTTTGAACACATGATCCTCAGATCTCAGCCTCCTGAGTAGCTAGTATTATAGGTGTGAGCCACCAGTGCCCAGCTGGTTTGGTTTTATGAAGGCTTTTTACCTAAGCACCTCTGAATTTGGTGGATTAGGTGGATTAGGCTACTTGGTTGATACCCATGGAGAGTAATTGCTGCCAACAACTCAAGCTCACCAATTGCAGCCCTGGTTACTAAGTTCATGTAAAGCATCCTTTTGAGTTGTTCAGCACACACAATGAGCGCCTTTACTACTTGAGGCCAGGCATGTGGGATGAAGCAGGGGAATGGGGGTCAGGAGGGGGAGGCGTTGGCCGTGGTCCTCCGTGTCTTTCTAGATGTCTGTGGTGCCAGGTTATGTTTTCCACCCAAAATTGAACTCTTGGTTGGGGTGGGGCCTGTTCTTGTGCCCTGAGGTTTGCACAAGTCCCCAGTGCAGCGCATGCTAGGGCCATTGAGCCCACTGAGGAATTGAGCCGCTGGCCAGCACGTGGTTCCCCCCTGTTGCAGGCCTGAGATGTTCGAGACAGCCATCAAGGAGAGCACATCATCCAAGAGCCCACCCCGTGAGTGCCGCAGCCTGCTCTTCCATGGGTGTCCCGTCTGTGGGCAGCCCGGCCCACCCTGTTGCTGTCCCAGCTGCCGTGCAGCCCGCCCGGGCTATGTGGTTTGACGTGTTTGCTGTTCTCTGAGCATTGGGAAGAACAAAATAGTCTGTGGGGAGGTCTAGCATGTTACTAGAATACAGGCAAGGGTGCAGGCTCCCGGCCCTGATGGAAGGGGCCGCGCCGCGTTGCCACGCGTGTTGCCACGCTGGCACCGGTGCCTTCTCCAACAGGCAGCACCCCGCTCGTGCATGTCCTCTCTGATGCAGTTTCTGTTTTAAGGGAAAATCAATTCATCGCCCAGTGTGAATACTACTGCCTCCGGCGTGGAAGACCTGAACATCATCCAGGTGACCATTCCAGGTAGGGCGTCCACTGGGCCAGGCCCGGTCTTCCCTGGGTGGCTCGCCTGGAGGCGGGCACCTAGCCCCGTAGCAAGTTAAACCCGTCCGTGTGCCTGCCAGTCCCGTGCTCTCTGCACCTGCTTGTCCCCGCATCAGGGGCTTCCCAGGGAGGTGTGCTGGTGTTCTGTTCCCCATCTCTCGTGGGAAGAAGCTGCAGCCTTCCCTCTTGGGACCCCCCTGTGGCAGCAAAGCACGCTCCCCTGGGGTGGTGGCAGCGCAGGCTCACCCTGCTCCCCGCCCGCTCCAGATGATGACAGCGAGCGGCTGTCCAAGGTGGAGAAGGCCCGGCAGCTGCGCGAGCAGGTCAATGACCTCTTCAGCCGCAAGTTTGGTGAGTCCCGTGGCCCCTCCACAGCCAAGGGGTGGAGGTTGGGTCAGGGCTAAGTGGTCGTGCTGTGGCCATGGTGGTGGTTGGTGTGCAGTGGGGGGAGGCGGAGGTCACTGCGGTGTTTGTTCTGTTCTGTTGCCTTCCATAGGTGAAGCCATTGGCATGGGCTTCCCGGTGAAGGTGCCCTACAGGAAGATCACCATCAACCCCGGCTGTGTGGTGGTGGACGGTATGCCTCCTGGCGTGTCCTTCAAAGCCCCCAGCTACCTGGAGATCAGCTCCATGAGACGGATCTTAGACTCGGCCGAGTTCATCAAGTTCACGGTCATTAGGTGAGTTGTGTGCAAGTGCGAGGAGCTGGCGTGGCGGGGGGAGCCCTTGCCTCGCTTTCCCCGCTGTCCCTGCTGATTGCGTGCGAGCTAGTGAGGCTGTGGGGGGGCGGGGCGTGCAGACTAAGGGCTCCTTGCACCCTGGCTGGTGTGCTTCGCAGCCACACTCCAGTCTGAGCTCACTTGTTTTTTCTGTCTGTCCTGGGGCTTGAACTCAGGGCCACTTGGGTTTTTTTGATGGTTAACTGGAGATAAGAGTCTCTCAGACTTTTCTGCCCTGGGCTGGCTTCGAACCAAGATCCTCAGATCTCAGCCTCCTTGTAGCTAAGATGACAGGCATGAACCACCATACATCAGTCTTTAGAATTGCTGGGTCCAGGCACACCCCCCCACACCAGTCTCCTGCGCCCTGACCTCTCCTCCGCTCCTGACAGCAAGGGTGGCAGATCATGGCATGCCGACCGAGTCCTGGGGTTCGCACATGCCCGCCTGTGTGTTCCCTTAGAGGCAGTGGCCTGTGGGCGGCACACTGAGCCCTGAGCCCACACAGCCTCCCTGTCTGCTCCCCGTGAGGGGGCTCAAGTGCCCATGTCCCTACTGAGAACGCTGGCCTGGCACGCAGATGTCCTTGGGTCCTTTCTGAAGCATCTCCCTGGCCACTCCACTCCCAGGGACGCTCCATTTCCGGTGCCACCCTGGCCTTGCGTGCCGCCTGCTGCCACGCAACCACTCCATCCCAGCCACGCTGTCTGTTGTGTTCATACTAGTGTGGTTGGCAGGCTAGGTGACACGTGGCCAGCAGGCAGAACCCATCCGGCCATATGGAAACACGTTTCTTCTACGTGGCGCAGGGCATGCTGGGGCACGGGGCGCAGCAGGGTGTGGAGGTGGTGCTCACACATTTGTTTTCTCTCCAGGCCATTCCCAGGACTGGTGATTAATAACCGTGAGTACTGCCCATGCCGGGCCCCGCAGCTCCCCGTGGGGTGTAGTGAGCCGGCCTTTGGTTGCACTTAGGGCACATGGTCCCAGCCAAGCATAGCGGCAGGCCGCCAGGGGCCTCATGTCCCTAGTGACAAGACAGTGGCTTGTCCTCACCTCCACTGTCCCCACGCTGAGAGCCGAGGGCCATGACTCCTGCGGGTCCTTGGGTGACCGTCAGTGAGCAAAGCCTGCCTTGTCCTGTGGACATGGCTGCTGGCAGCACGGCCTGGCTGGGTCCCTTCCCGGGAGAAAGCGCCTGCACCACGGTGCTGCTGTCAGCTCTCCCCGCTTTCCTTTCAGAGCTGGTGGATCAGAATGAGGCGGAGGGCCCCGTGACCCAAGGTGAGAGCCACGTGCACGTGCGCACACACGGCCTTGGCTGCCTCATTCCTGGGGGGACTCGTACCAGCTCCAGCGTGTGCCAGTGAGAGCCGCGCAGTTCCAGGCTGCTGTGCCGGCGCAGGCGCGGCGTGGGTCTCTGTGCAGCCGCTGCTCTGACTTGGAGCACCATGAAGGGCCTTGTGCATGGGGACCATGGAAGCCGAGGAGGCGGGGCGGGGGGGACCAGCCCAAGGGGAGAGGAAGCGAGCAAGCGCTGTAGGTGCTGTTGAATAATCTGGGCTGTGCTTCATGTGTCCTTCAGAGTCAGCCGAGCAGAGTCAGTTGGAAGCTCCTGTGGCGGAAGGTACGGGGGTGCCCACTGAGCCTGGCCTGGCCTCAGGATGGGTCGCTCTTGGGGTGCGGGTGGCGTGTTGTGCTAGTGGCTGCTGTGTCCTGGTCCCTGGGGGCGGGGCAGCTCAGAGCCTCGTGTGTCACGTGTGTGTCCTGTGAAGTCGTGGGGTGACCGGTGCAGCCTCGTGTCCTCCTGCCGTAACGCCAGGCCACACCGGCCATAGGACCGTCCCATCGAGTGGCTTGTGGTGTGGGGTTGCTTGCTGTGTGTGTTGCCACACAGCGCATGGGTGCCCTTCTGTTTGTCCTGGCAGAAATGAAAGAGGCAGATGGAAGCTCCCAGATCAAGCAGGAGCCTGACCCCACGTGGTAGGCTGCTCCCCACGGGCCAGGTGAGCCACGGGTGCTTCTGTGCATTTCGGCCTCGGTCGTCTGTGGGAGCTGTGGCTTTCGGGTGGCACGTGGCGTGGTGCTGAGCCTCTCTCCTCTCTGTCCTCGCAGCCGCCGGCGTGGGAGCGGAGCAGAGCGGAGCGGCCATGCCCCGAGCTGTGTACAGTACTTGTATAACAGAATTCCTTCTATACAAACCTTCTTTTCTACTTTTAGATAGAAATGTCTACTTTTTCAGCCGTTCTGTGAATTGCAGCGCGGCGGCCAGCGGGTGGCGCTGTGGGGCGTGGGCCTCCTCCCGGGCCCAGCGGCTCTTTAGTTTTTCTATTGGAAAAATCGTTCCTGAGTGGACAGCCTGCGTCACGGCATGGACTGGCCTCTCCCGAGCCACCCCTGTGGTCTGTGGTTTTGTCACAATTGCGAGCGGCGGCGGCAGCGCCTTTGCCCGCTCCTTGGCGGCCGCCCTGCCCCAGCCTGCGCCCGGGACGGCGCAGGGCGCTGCAGCGCGTTCCCGCACGCCACGCGGGCCGCAGAGCCGGGGTCCCACTCGCTCTTCCGCCCGCTGGTAGATTGCGTGGTTCACAGACGGCCGCAGTGCAAGGAGCATAGTTTCCTTAGCTTTATCACGAAGATACCCACGGAGATTATATCACATGGTAGCAGAAATAGGCATTTTCTGTGTTGCTTATATTTTACCTCAGATTGTAGATATAGGGTAACAAATAAAGTCCATCCATGACTTTCACACGTGGCTGTTTTTTTTCGGACCTTTCTTGGGTGCGTGGGGCACATGGGCCCAGGTGGTGGGGGCACCCCATCCGAGAAGGCTGAGGCCAGAGCGGGGGGCACCTGGTACCACGCCCCAAGGCGGCTGGGGCCTCGCACAACCTGTACCTGGCACAATGGTGGTTGTGGCAGTTTGGGGGTTCATTTGGCCATCTTGGGCTTGGCACTGGGGTAACAGACAAGCTGGGGGTGTGGGGACAGGAAGGGCCCTGAGCCGTTACCCACTCGTGACCCATGCAACGCTCTATCACTTGGGACCCTGGTCCTGCTCTATGGAGCCTTCAGCATGGCGGCCTACAACCAGCAGGGGGACCTGCTGGCTTTTGTCAGGGCTGGGGTGCAGCTCAGGAGTCCCCGAGTCCAGCCCCAGTTGGGAAGTGTTGAGGTGTCAGGACCTCACATGTAGCTTGCAAGCTGGAGGCACGGCCCTGCCAGAGTGTGGGTCGTACTGGGGCACGTGGTACCGGTGGGCCTGCCCCACATCTGTGTGCATGTAGGGCCCAGGGCACTGCTCCTGAGGCTGAGAGGCACCCAGAAACCAGCGCAGCCCCCTTTCTATAGCATCCCGAGCCCGGGGCTGAGAATGTGGAGTGCTTGTTTGGCAGGGCCCTTGGTGGGCCCTGAGTGGGCAGATACCAGGCCGCCCTTGGGTAAGGGTGGGCCTGGTGGTGTGTTGCTTAGTCTCCACCCCAGGAGGCTGACACCCCCGCAGCCAGCCTGGGGGACAGCCTGGCCTGCACGGGCTTCCTCCCACAGGGAGGCATCGGGTTTGAGGCTGGGACTCTGGCATGTGAGAGCCATGCACACCCATGTCACAAGCCTGCAGCCGCGGGGCTGAGCGTCCTTCCCTATGGTGCGAGCTGCAGCCTCACTGGCCTCCGCTGGAGGGTGAGCTGCCTGGCCCTGCCAGGACCCTGCACCAAAGCGCAGGCGCTGTGTGTGGCCCCCACTGGATAGGAGAGCACACCATCAAGCCGGACGGGGCACTCCCACCTGGAGTCCCTGCTTGTGAGGTCTAACCTGAGCCAGGTTTGGGGCAGCGGAGGCCTGGGGGCTGGCCCTGCTCCCCGCGCCCAGGAGCAGACGGTGGGGCCCCAGCGCATCCATGCCTACAACCCACTGGGGTGTAGAGTGCCTTCCAAGGCCTAGGGCAGAGAGCGGTGGCTGCCTGCTGAGGCCAGCAATCCCTGGGCGGAGGGAGGGAGGGAAGGAGGGAGGGAGGGAGGGAGGGAGGGAGGGGATACTGCGCAGCACAGGGCTGTTGGGTGGTTGCCCTTGAAGCGAGGTGGCGCTGAGTTCTGTGGGACCTGCTGTCTCCCCAGAGCCTGGCAGGGTCATACCGCAAACCGCCACAGACCTGGGCACAAGCAGGATGGATGACAGCCCTGACCCCAGAGTGCTGCCCCGGTGCCAGGCCCCTGCCCACGCTGGCCCCTGGTGCTCCTTGGGGATTTCCTGGCTAAGGAAATGGCCAGCCTGGCCCCGGAAGTCAAGGTCTGGGGGGGCCCCCGCCTCGCAGCCTGGGTGACAACTTCTCACTTTTGGTGTCTGCGCCAGCCAGAGGCCCCTCAGCCCCTCCCCCCACTCCACCCAGCCATTTGTTCACCTGCCGGGAGGCGGTGTGAGGCCGGCCAGCCACCACCATGCCCCATGTGCCTCAGTTTCCCTGTGGGTGACAAAAACACTTGCCAAGGCCTGGCCCAGCACAAAGCACCCCAGAGCTTCAGAATTTGGGGGGCTGGGACACAGGTATAGCCTGTGCACGTTTATGTTTCACAGTGAAAGCTTTGAAATCTTGCTCCAGATGCCAGTGGCTCATGCCTGTGATGTGAGCTGCTCAGGAGGCTGAGAGCCGAGGAGCAGGGTTTGAAGCCCGTCCAGGCAGGAAAGTCCACGAGATGCTTATCTCCGCAGGCCTGGCCAGGCTCGGTGTTTGCAAGGCCTTGACTGCCTTGCGCAAGGGGGAGAGGAAGGGAAGGAAGTGGGGCGGCCTGGCAGGGGAGGGAGGCGGCTGTAGTGTGGGAAGTCCCCAAAGGGCCCCCTGTTCCTTCTGCAACCGCCACCTGTCCAGCCAGGCCAGATGCAGAGAGCTGCCCTCTTTATTTCTCGCTTTTTCCTGTATAACACGTGCCCATAGAAAGACCAGCACAAACCCTACGCTCACTTTCATCAAACAACCTCATTTAACAGGGCATGGTGGCTCACGCCTATAATCTCAGCTGCTTGGGAGACTGAGATCTGAGGATCTTAGTTTAAAGCCAGGTGGGGCAGGAAAGTCTATGAGACTATCTCCCATTAACTATCAAAAAGCTGGATGTGAGCTGTCGCTCAGTGGTAAATTGCTAACCTTGTGTGGAAAAGCTCAAGGACAGCATCTAGTCCCTGAGTTCAAGCCCCAGGACTGGCACCAAAACACAAAAGAAACAAACGCAACCCCAGAACCATTGTGGGCACAGTGCAGAAAAGCTCGATCACTCTCTGCCCGACCCAGCCACAGCCCTGGGAGTACGGAGCACCCAAGGCTCTCAGCACCCTCCGTGCTGCCCCGTTGGGGTCAGGGCAGCACGAATGGCCGCAGTTGCTGCCTGAGTCCCTGCCAGGACCCCACAGACCAGCCAGGCCCTGTGCGTCCTCCCAGCCCCCGCCCCCACCCCGAACCTCCCGCCCAACACAAGCAACTTCCTCTTCCCAGCACATATAAGGCCCAGCCCCGGTGGCCCAGAGTGGCAAAGGCACCCACTGCAGCCATGGGGGACACTGCCATCCGCCACATCGCCCTTCTGGGCTTCGAGAAACGCTTTGTCCCCAGCCAGCACTACGTGAGTACACCCAGCCTCAGCGTGGCCACCTCCCCACCCACCAGCTAGGCAGGGCCCAGGGTGCCCTTCTGGACCCTGAGCCTTTGGGTCTCACTGAACTCTGGGGTCCACAGATGCCATCTTGAGGAGACCTGAGTCCTGTACAGCGGAGCCCCCATTCCTCCCTCCCCCCCCCCTCCCCCCCACCATTCATCCCCATCTTGAGCCCATGGGAGGGGGAGCCTGCCCTGCCCAGCGAGCACCCCAGGGCACTGTCAGGGGCCCCCTGTGTGTCAACCAGGACCCCATTTAGATCGGGAGGTGATGTTCAGAACACAAGTTCTTTATTCTCTGACTCGTTTTAATTCTGAAGTCATTTCAGAGTCAGGGCAAGTGCCCACAGTGCAAATATGTTCATGCTCGCATGCGTGTGTGTGTGTGTGTGTGTGTGCGCGCGCGCGCGCGTGCATGCGCTGGTCCTGGGACTTGAACTCAAGGCCTGGGCGCTGTCCCTGAGCTGCTTTTTGCTCAAGTCTAGCACTCTATCACTTGAGCCACAGCTACATTCAGCTTTTTGGTAGTTAATTGGAAATAGGAGTCTTACAGACTTTCCTGCTTGGGCTGGCTTTGAGCCATGATCCTCAGTTCTCAGCCTCCTGAGTAGTTAGGATTACAGGCAAAAGCACCAGCACCTGGCTCATGCTTTTTTTTTTTTTTTTTCCTTTTTGTGTCAGTATTGGAGCTTGAACTCAGAGCCTTGAGCTCTCACTTGGCGTTTTCTGCTCAAGACTGATGCTCTAGCACTCTTGAGCCACAGCTCCACTTCAGCTTTTTGATGAAAAACTGGAGATGAGAGTCTCACAGATTTGACTGTCCAAGCTGGCTTCAAACCTCAGTCTTCCAGATCTTTGTCCCCTGAATAGCTAGGGTTACAGATGTGAACTACCAGGTCCAGCTGTGTGCCTGGCTTTCCTCAGCCCTGGTCCATTGTTACATAACCAGGAAGTGAACACACACAAACAAGGGTCACGCGGGACAGCGCTGGCCTCCTCAGTGGCCCCACACGGGCCCTGTGGCGTAAAGTTAATTGAGATCAAGAGTCCAGGATCAATGGGGGTCTCATCCCTCTGCTTTCCTTAATACAGACTTTCCACCTGGGCCCCTTCCAGCCCCTTTGCTTTTGTTATTTTTTTAAGTAAAAACGCTGTCCAGGCCAGCCGGAACACCACTCACTTCTATACGTTTTGTACAACGCTAGGATTTACATACCCACACCCGGCTTGTTTGTTGAGTCTCATCAGCTTTTTTGCTTGAGTTGGGCTCAAATGTTGGTGCTCCTAACCTCTACTTCCATGAATAGCTGGAGTTACAGGCATAAGCCACTGCACTGGTTTGTTTCCTTGCTTTTGATGGGAGTCTCCTTACCCAGCCCAGGCTGGAGTTCCAGGATGTGGTCATTTGGAATAGAGCAGGCTGGTGACATTGTAGGGTGTCACTACCTCTCTGGCATGAGTGCTGGCTGTGGACCAGGCTGGGTTTGCCCCCTGCCCCCTGCTCCTGCCCCTCCTATGGCTGGGTTTGCCCCCTCACCCATACCTGGCATTAGTAACTTTATTAATGAAGTCTCATATATGCCTAGGAGGAGGGGAGGACTTGGACATCGTTCCTATCTATGTTTCATGGCCGGGATCACAGGCACAAACCACCACCTGGTTCACTGAAGCAGATAGACTCTTACCAACGTTTCCCCTTGGGCTAGCCTTGAACTGTGATCTCCCTGATTTCTCCCTCCTGCCTAGCTGGGATTATAGGAATTTGTCACAATGCCTGGCCCTGGAGCTGGCAGCTCCTGAGTCCCTTTCAGTGGCCCTGGCTAGCCCAAAGCCCTGCTGTGCCCCTTAGGGCTGGAGGGCAGCTGGTGCCCAGCGGCAGGCACTGAGCAGGCCCTCCCCCAGGTGTACATGTTCCTGGTGAAGTGGCAGGACCTGTCAGAGAAGGTGGTTTACCGGCGCTTCACTGAGATCTATGAGTTCCACGTAAGTGTGTGGGGGCTGCAGGGGCCACGCCACGCCGCTCCCAGCCCACGGCGCCCTCACCCTCACCTCCATCTCCTTCTCTACTAGAAAACGCTCAAAGAAATGTTTCCTATTGAGGCTGGAGATATCAACCCCGAGAGCCGGGTGATCCCGCACCTCCCAGGTGAGGGCAGCCCGCGGTGTCCCCTTCCTGTGTCCCCCCGTCCCATGACCCTGTCCCGTGTCCCTGCCCCCCTGGCACTATGAATGAGTTGTGTGTGGCCCAAGCCCCCAGGTGGTTTGACGGCCAGCGAGCGGCAGAGAGCCGGCAGGGCGCTCTCTCCGAGTACCTCCACACGCTCCTGGCGCTGCCCACGAAGATCTCGCGCTGCCCACACCTGCTCAACTTCTTCAAGGTGCGCCCGGATGACCTGAAGCTGCCCACAGACAGCCAGTGAGTGGATGCCCTCAGCCGCCGTGCGGGGAGGGCGGGATGACAGCCCAGAGCCCACAGCTTGGAGAGGGCAGGCAGCTGCGGGGGGCGCCCAGCACGGCGGCGGCGGCTTCGCCCGGCTGTGGGGCTGGCTGTGCTCGCCCGGTGGGGACTCTGGTGCAGGGGATCTGGGAGTCTGGGCAGCCCTGGGCCTCTGGAAGAGGCTGAGCAGCCTTCTGGAGGGCAGCTATGCCTCGCACAAGACCCGGACTGCCCAGGGATGGCTGGTGGGCAGAGATGCCGACCCCAGGTCCCCTCCCTGTGTGCTAGGATTCCAGGAAGGCTGCCCGGCTGGTGTCCACATGATCTGTAGGGGCCCAGGGTCCTTTCCCCCCCCACAGGCTCCACCCCACCTGGCCCAGACACCTCCTTCTCTCTGCAGTGGTCATGGGAAGTCCTTCTGCAGGTCTGACCCAGAGCCCCAACTGGAAGCTGAGGGTCTGAACCAGGCTGTGTTCTCTTCTCAGAGCTAAAAAGCCAGAGACGTACCTGATGCCCAAGGATGGCCGAGGCAATGCAGCAGGTGAGGCGCTGGGCAGGGACAGAGGGGGGAGGCGGAGGGGGGAGAGGAGGGGGAGGTGCAGGATGCGCATGGGCCCGTGGCGGGCCACGGCTGGCAGGTGGCAACGTGTCCTTGTAGTGACAAACCCAGCATAGAGCCCTCCAGGGTCCTGGGGGTATGTGGATCCTGAGGGGGTTCCAGGAGCCAAGGTGGCCTCAGAGGTGGAGCCGGGCAGGGCAGCTCATTCATTCATTCATTCATTCATTCATTCAATCATTCTGGTGCTGGGATGGAAGCCAGGGCTCTGCACTGTGCCACTGAGCTACATCTCCAGTCTGCTTCTCATCTTTGTTCTTTTTGGGTTTTTGAGACAAGCGTTGGATGTAGGTCTCGAACTCTTGCTTCTCCTGCCTCAGCCTCTGGGGCGCTGAGATTACAGGAGTATCCCCCACTCCCAGCCTCCCAGGTTTCAATCTTGATTGTGGAGGAGCTGTTAATACTATGAGTTAGCATTTACTGAGCACTTACATTGTGCCAGGCGTGGTATACAATGCATTAACTCTGAGGGTGTGGGGCGCACACCCTGAACTCCAGGTACTCAGGAGGTACAGGCAGAAAGATCCTACACCTAAGCTGATCCCTTGGGCAAAAATGTGAGACTCTATCTGCAAAATAAACTGAAAGCAAAAAGGGCTGGGGGTGTGGTTCAAGTGGTCAAGCAGAAGACTTGTGTTCACGGTCCAGTAATGGACATATGCGTGCATGTGTGCACATGCACACATGCACGTGTGCTCTGATCCCTTTGCTAACTTCCTAGGCCCAGGACTGGTCCCCCTGCGGGAAGACAATAGGCACTTAATAGCTACCCACTCTAGCCAGGCGCTGGTGGCTCATGCCTGTAATCCTCGCTACTCAGGAGGCTGAGATCTGAGGATCATGGTTCAAAACCAGCCTGGCAGGAAAGTCTTATCTCCAACTAACCACCTGAAAACCAGAAGTGGTGCTGTGGCACAAGTGGTAGAGCACCAGCTGTAATAGTGACTAGGCCCTGAGTTCAAGCCCCATGATAGACAAGTTTTTGTTTTTTGCCAGTCCTGGGGCTTGAACTCAGGGCCTAGACACTGAACTTGAGCTGCTTTTGCTCAAGGCTAGCACTTTACCACTTCAGCCCTAGTGCCACTTGTTTTTTTCTGTGTATGTAGTGCTGAGGAATCAAACCCAGGGCTTCATACACGGTAGGCAAGCACTCTACACTAAGCCACATTCCCAGCCTCTTGACAATATTTTAAAAAAATACAGAATAAATGCCCACCCTGTGAGCCTGCAGCGGGGGGGGGGGGGGGGTGCTGCCCCTGTGCCCGCTCAGTCCATGCCCCCTGTGCCCTCTGCAGACATCACAGGCCCCCTCATCCTACAGACCTACCGCGCCATCGCCACCTACGAGAAGAGCTCGCCCTCTGAGATGGCGGTGACCGCGGGCGACGTGGTGGATGTGGTAGAAAAGAGCGAGAGTGGTCAGTCCCTGCCCTGCCCTGTCTCCCCGTGAGGTCCCCCAGCCTTGAGGCCCTGCAGAGGCTCTGGCGCGGGCACAGTGGACTGGGGGCACAGTCCTGTCCCCCCGAGCCTGTGTGGGACTCCACAGGCTGGCTCTGCAGATGCCTTGTGTCCATGTCCTCTGCCATGGACTCCAGAGGAGGTTGGGGGAGATGGGGGAGGCCGAGGAGGCCAGGGGAGACCTGGGGAGACCCAGGGAGGCTGAGGAGGAGGTTGGGGAGGCCAGGGTCTTGACTCACATCCCCACGACCCTGGTTCAGGTTGGTGGTTTTGCCAGACAAAGGCGAGGCGTGGCTGGGTCCCGGCGTCCTTCCTGGAGCCTCTGGACAGCCCAGATGAGGCAGAAGACCCTGAGCCCAACTATGCAGGTGCCTGGCCCCCAGAGGGGCACAGGGCTGGAATGTGAGGAGCCAGATGCTTTGGGGGCTACCTGACAACTGGACACCTCATCTGTGGGAGCCTGGCCAGACTGCTGTAGCTCTCGGGCTCTGGTGGGGGTGGCAGCTGGGGGCTCACCTGGGCTGGTGAGCACAGGCAGGGGCCAGAAGGGGCTGGTGGGGGCAGCTGGGCTAGCTCTAGACCCAGAGGGGAGAATGGGGTGCAAGCCTGGTGTGGGCAGCCCCTGGCAGCATGTGCATCTCCATCCTGGACTCCAGGAGAGCCCTACATTGCCATCAAAGGCTACACTGCGGTGGAGGATGATGAGGTGTCGCTGTCCGAGGGGGACGCCATCGAGGTCATTCACAAGCTTCTGGACGGCTGGTGGGTTGTCAGGTAGGACAGCCTCCCCCCATGCTCCACACCCTGGGCCGGGCCGGCCCGGCCGGTAGGCCCGCTGGGGCTCTGGACTAACTCGAGGTGACTCTGGGTAAGCCTCGGCACTTCTGGGCCTCAGTTTCCACATTGCTGGAAAGTGAAAGATGAGCCCACCCTGCCTGTCTTGTGAGTTTCAGAATTCTGTCCAAATAAGGCCTTTCTCCCACTTGGCCCATCCTCCTCCATTTTTATTTTTGTCAGTCATGGGGTTTGAACTCAGGGCCTAGGTGCTGTTTGTGAGCTTTTCTGTTCAAGGCTAGCACTCTACTGCTTTGAGTCACAGCTGGTGGTTAATTGGAGACTCTGCCACTTGAGCCATAACTTCATTCCCAGCATTTTGGTGTTTAATTAGAGATCAGAGTGTCATGAGCTTTCCTCCTTGTGCTGGGCTTCCTGAGTAGCTGGTATTACAGGTGTGAGTCACTGGTGCCCACTTTGACCCCGCCATTGGTTGAGATTGAGTCTCATGAACTTGTCTTTTCTCCCAAACTGAGGCCACCCTGCCCCTCAATCTGCTGCTGTCCATTTCCCAAGTAGCTGGGACTACGGGCATGAGTCACCAGGCTTGGCTTCGAAGATGGATGGAACCATCTTCAGCACAGGGTGCCAGGAGCTGAATGAAAGCCCTCAGCACTGACACCCCTCCGCCCCACCTCCCGCGCAGACAAAGGCTGGTGTTTGGCCGGATCACGGTTCCGGCCCAAGCGTTAGGATAGAAGCGGAGGTGGTGGTGGTTGTCTTGGGGTCCCGCCAGGGTCGTCCCCGCGGATGGGGAAGGAGGGCCGGGAGGCGGGGAGGGCTCGGCCGGGCGCGGCGGGAGACAGACGCCCCGGTCCGCTTCTCCGCTGCCCGCTGCAGGAAGGAGGACGCCACCGGCTACTTCCCGTCCATGTACCTGCAGAAGGCGGGGCAGGCCCCGGCGCAGGCCCCGCGCCCCGGCAGGGGCAGAGGCGCCCCGCCTCGCAGGTGGGCTGGCGGTGGGGGCCGCACCCTCGGGGGGGCGGGAGAACGGCGGGGTCCACGCCTTCCAGGGTCAACTTGGGACCCCAGGGCGCCCACGGGGACGGCGGGGCCCGGGGCGCCGGGTCCTGACCTCGTGTCCGCCCCGCCCGGCCAGATCCACCATTCGCAACGCGCAAAGCATCCACCAGCGGGCACGGAAACGCCTCAGCCAGGACGCCTACCGCCGCAACAGCGTCCGCTTCCTGCAGCAGCGCGGCCGACAGAGCCCGCAGCGTAAGCAGAGGCGCGGCCCAGGGCGGAGCTAGCCAGACTGGAGGGCGCTGACAGGGGCCGGGGCCATGGCGCGGAGCGAGAGGCAGGGACCGGAGGGCGCTGATAGGCTGGAGCCTAGGCAATGGGGCGGAGCCAGGCGGCTTGGTGGGGGCGGAGTCAAGGAGAGCGGACCGCGCACCCGGCGGGCGGGGACAAGCAGGCCGGACGGGGCGGGCTCCTGACCCTGGCCTGCCCCCAGAGGCCAGCCCCCAGACGCCGCCGCGCGCGAAGCCGCAGCCCGCCGTCCCCCCGCGGCCCAGCGCCGACCTCATTCTGCACCGCTGCAGCGAGAGCACCAAGCGAAAACTGGCGCCCGCCATCTGAGCCCCAGCCGCCCGCTACACATGCGTGCTTTTAGCAGTCTGGGGGTGCCCGGCAGCTCAGGCCTCTCCCCGCTCAATAAACGCTGGAGTGTGCGGACGATGGTCTCCCCTGGGGATGTTTCCAGAATGAGGAGGGGTGGGATCGTGGGTGCGGCCTGTCCTCACGGAGGGGGAGAGGTGTGGAAGGTCGGGGAGAACCCTGGAACCGCGTGGGACGGACTAGGCAGGGACGGAGGGTCCTCGGACCCATTCACCGACACCGCCCCAGCCGCCCTCAGCCTCCCCGCAGGGGCCCCAGAGCGCACCCCAGACGCCGAGGCCACCGTGCGGTGCGGAAGGGGAAGGCCAACGGCGCACACGAGGCAGCTCGTCAGCAATGTGGGTCACACTTGTCACCCCAGCTGCTCTGGACGCTGAGATCTAAGGATCGTGGTTCAAAGCCAGCCACTTAAAAGCGGAAGTAGGAGGTGTGGCTCAAGGGGTAGAGCACCATCCCATGTAGGGAATAGAACAAGTGGTGTGTGTGTGCGCGCCGCGGCCCAAGTCAGGCCAGCCAGGTGCTGGGCTTGTTCCCCCACAGTCCTAGTTCAGAGTGCCAGATGAAGAAAATGTAGGATTTGTTTTAAGGTAGAAACAGCAAGAAGGTGGCAGAGCTGCAGGGAGGAGCCGGGTCTTTCCCTGCCATTCTAAAGCTTTACAAGACCCACCATCCCTACCTGCTTGCATTGCTAATTTGTATGCCTGCCCTGGGGCTTGAACTTGGGGCCCTTGCACGGTCACACTTGGCTTTATCCACTCCAGGCTGTCGATTTACCACTTGAGCCATAGCTCCACCTCTGACTTTTTAGTGGTTAGTTGGAGATAACAAACTGATGGACTTTCCTGCCTGGGCCAGCTTTGATACTCAGCTCAGGGTAGCTAGGATTCCAGGCATGAACCACTGGCACTTGGCTGCTACTTGAATTCAGGGCCTTCAGCTCTCAGTGGGTTTTTTCCCCAGGGCTAGGGTTCTGACACATAAGCCACGACCACTCACATCACTGAGACGCGCCTACTGGAATAACACCAGCCCAGCCGGTCAGGGGAGCCTTGCCACCCAGACACACCAGCTTCCCAACACCCTGCTCAACCTGCTCACTGAAACCACATCTTGGCCCTGTCTTCTGATAGGTTCTGGATCCCCACTGCTCTTCTACTGGGTCTGGCAGGTAATAGGAACGGATGAAGCAGGCCAGGCACGAGGCACGTCAAAGCTTAGAAACACACAGAACTTTCTCAGCTACAGTGGCTTCTGAAGGGGGACGGGCGGGGCGGGCGCTCATTTCCGATGCGGGTGGGGTTCTGGCCATCCTCAGGAGGCGAGTCCGGGCCCTGGGCCGGCGCGGTCCTCGGTCCTGCTCAGCTTCAGGATGGAGAAGAGCTGCTCACAGACGAAGGTGCTGCCGAACATGGAGAGGACGCGGGCGCAGTGGGCGCGGAAGCGGGGGTAGCTGCTCCGCAGGTGCTTGCAGAACTGGGGCACGCCCAGTCGCTCGTACTGGGCCCGCAGCGCAGAGTTGCACTGCAGGTCGATCACCTCCATCTGCAGTTCCTCGGGCACGTGGTCTGCCGCAGCCGAGAAGGGTGAGCTGAACAGCCGCAGCTCGGACTCCTGCGCGTGGAAGGCGGCCAGGCGTGCCTGGAACTCTGCCTTGAGCCCCGCAATCCTGGGGATGTAGCCGAGGACGTCGCTGGCGCTGCGGGACACGGCCCTGAGCGTGGGGAAGTGGGCCAGGTTGTTTCGGGCCAGGTGCGTCTCCCAGAGGCCCAGCTTGGCCAGGAAGGCTCGAAACAGATCGAACATGCGGGTGACGAGCTGGGGATGGACCTGCAGCGCCAGGGCCAGCGAGTTGAGGTGAGTGGTCACGTCTACCAGGAAGGCCAAGTCCAGCACCCAGGCCTTGCAGCTTAGCTGGGGCAGCGGCCTCCCCCGGGAAGACAGGAAGGAGTCGATGTCCTCCAGCGACTCGAAGAAGCGTTGGAGCACCAGGCCTCGGCTGAGCCATTTGATGCCGGTGTGGTACCACAGGCTGCCGTACTGGCTGTCCAGCTCGTACAGCAGGGCTGTGAACTCGCCGCGGTTCAGGCCCCGGGAGCTGATCCAGTTCACCGAGTCCACCACCACCTCCATCACATGCTCCATGTCCAGGCTCTGGGCGCACAGGGTCTCAGGGCGGATGATGCAGCCCAGGGATTTCAGCTCTGAGCCCTTGCTGGCTGCAGCTGCCCTGGCGCACAGCCTGGGGACCAGACCGTGGCTGGAGTCTACCATGGCTGGGGAGCCAGTGGATGCCACGCTGACCAATTTGGCCCAGTCGATGTTGAACTTCCTCAGACTCTTCTCCACGCGGGTGAAGGTCTCGCTGGCAGATGTGGCGCCCGTCATGGGCACTGTATCCAGAAGTTCCTCGGACACCTCGAAGTCGGCGTCCACACCACGGATGAAGATGGCCAGCTGTGCCGTGTTGTTGATGTCTGTGATCTCATCGATGGCGAGGGAGTAGGCCATGAACGACCGGATCTTCTCACGCAGCCTGGCCCACAGACCCCCGGCTGAGTCCTCCCTCGGGGGCTCGGCCGAGGTGGGTTCTGGTGGGCCAGCATTGGGGAGTGCGATGGCGGGGGGGCCCAGGAGGTACTTGGTGAGCCCCGTCTTGAGCTCAAGCAGCTTGAGATCCCGTGCGTGCTCGGTGTAGCGGTCGTAGTGCTGGCTGTGGCTGGTGCGGTAGTGGCGCCGCAGGTTGTACTCCTTGGCCACAGACACACTCTGCTTACATATCAGGCACATGGGCGTGTTCTGCACCTCCACGAAGAAGTAGGCGCGCTCCCACTTCTCCTGGAACACACGGCCCTCCTGGTCGATCTTGCGTTTGCCCACTTGGAACGGAGACACAAGCAAGAAAGACTTCACTTTGCTCCTTTTCTTTTTATGTGTACCAGCCCTAGGGCTGAAATTCAAGGCCTGGGCACTATCCCTGAGCTTTTTTGCTTAAGGCTGGTGTTCTACCACTTGAGCCATACCACCACTTCTGGCTTTTGGGGGGATCATTGGAGATAAGAGTCTCCTGGAAAACCAGGCGCTGGTAGCTCCCGCCTGTCATCCCAGCTACTCAGCGGGCTGAGATCTGAGGACTGAAGTTCAACAATCCAGCCCAGACAGAAAAGTCTGTGAGACTCTTATCTCCAATTAACCACCAGAAAGCAGGCAGTGGTGCTGTGACTCAAAGTGGTAGAGTGCTAGCCTTGAGCAAAAGAGCTCAGGGACAGCGCCCAGTCCCTGAGTTCAAGCCCCACAACTGACAAAAAAAAAGAAAGAAAGAAACACAGGCAGGATTGGGGGTTAGCTCACTGGTAAAATGCATGCCTGGTATGTGTGTATGTCTGGAGTTCCATCCCCAGGATGGAAACAAATGTTAACACAGCATCTAACAGATGACACGATTTGTACAGACTCCTGGCTGGTGGGGCTGGGGGAGGGAGGGTGGGAGCCTGGGTCTGAAGCCTGGCACCCCGCACCCAGAACTCACCATTGCTCAGCTCCAGTCCAGGCAGCGGCCTGCAGAGAAGGAGACATGGTGAGTGCATGGCACGGTCCCCTCCTGTCCCTGGGCTCTGCCTGGCTTCTTGTTGGTGCCATGCCAGGCACGGAAGAGCTGGAACCAGGCTGGCTGGGCTGTCAGAAGGAACAGGCATGTTCCCCAAGACAAACGCTGTGTGATACAGGGCAGAGGGCCTTGGGGACTTGGGCCTGGGCAGCCCTGGTCTGCCAGGGCAGCATCTGGAGCCTGATGAGCTCACTCCACTTCATAATGATGGAGAGAGCCGGGCCCCTCACCCACCTGATGACCGTGAACTTGATGAACTCTGCAGCTTCCAGGATCCGCCTCATGGAGCTAATCTCCAGGTACCCAGGGGCTTTGAATACCACACCCGGGGGCATGCCATCAATCACCACACAGCCGGGGTTGAAGGTGATCTTCCTGTAAGGAACCTTCACGGGGAAATCCACGCCTATTGCCTCACCTGCCACGCAAAAGGCAAAGATGCTTCACATGGGGGCTCTGTGTTCTCCATGGCACTCTACGTTTAAAGTACAGTTTTACAAGACATCCTCATCAAGTGAAAACCAGCAATGGCCACTCACTCCTGTAATCCCAGCTAGACCGGAGGCGGTAGTAGAAGGGTCTATGATTGAAGCCAGCAAAAAATTTAGTGAGCCAGCAGCAAGAGATGGAGGGCATAAGGAGGATCAAACATATTACACAGGTACATATGAGGAGAGCATAAAGGCAATCTCCAAATATTTAATATTTTGTGCCAGTCCTAGGGCTTGAACTCAAAACCTTGTACTTTTGCCAGTTTTTTTTTTTTTAAAGTGGTGCTCTACCACTTGGGTCACATCTCTGCTTCTGGCTTTAATTGGAAGTAAGAGTCTCAGAGACTTTCCTGCCCAGTCTGGCTTTGAACTGTGATCCTTAGATCTCAGCTTCCCAACTAGCCAGGATTACACGTGTGAGCCTCAGGCACTTGGTTGATTTTTACTGACTTTGAAGTTGGTGTGAGTGGTAGATCAGTTTCTCTACCTATTAAACAGGAATTATATTGGTACCTACCTGAATGATTTGAGGACTGTACATGCCAAGTACTAAATTATACTCATCCATGCTAAGAACTGAGCAAATCAAAGGCAGCTATTAAAATACACACTACCTTTAAAGACAGCTCCCCCACACACAGATCAACTTCCTGTAAGATACTCTTTTCCAAAGAAGTATTTCAAGTATATAATTCTTGGATACATAAATTTAAAAATGTACCAAATTTCCGACTGAAGAGGTGGTTAACCTGTTCTCGCAGTTGCTTGATCTTCTCCATGCTTGTTAACTTTTTCTTCTCACTGTCTAAAAAGAATGACATAACCAAAAAGGGTTGCTACTTTATTTTTCCACTGGGAAAGATGCTGGTGGGTCCCAGTTAGCACTTACCTGCTTTATTCAGGTCACTTCTGGCATTAAGTGAGCATTTTGGACATTTGCAAATGGACACCATCATGGATGGTGAGAGAACTTCCCCAGTGACAGACCCACCCTCTGGGGAACATTTTCAATACTGGGCAACACCAACACTCCTCAGAATTACTGTAGAAATCTTATCCAGTGCAATACGACAAGAAAAAGGAATGAGAAACCAGGGCTAGAAGGGAATATTCTAAGCCAGGTGCCAGCGGCTCATGCCACTCAGCTACTCAGGAGGCTGAGATCTGAGGATCATAGTTCAAAGCCAGCCCAGGCAAGAAAGTCCTTGAGACTCCTATCTCCAATAAACCACCAGAAAACTGGAAGTGGTACTGTAGCTCAAATGGTAGAGCATTTGCCTTGAGCTAAAGAGCACAGGGACAGTGTCCAAGCCCAGGGTTCAAGCCCCATGACTGACAAAAAAAAAAAAAAAAAAAAAAAAGGAAGGAATATTCTGCAATGCTTTAAATTTGTGAGTAACAACTATCTAAAATTCCAGAGATATAAACAACAAACAATCCTAGCGACTCAGGAGGTTGGGATCTGAGAATCACAGTTCAAAACCAGCCTGGGCAGGAAGGTCTATGAGAGTCCGATCTCCAGTTAATCATCAAAAAGTCAGAAGTGGAGCAGTGGCAGAGAACTAGCCTTAAATGAAAGAGTTGAGGGACAGCACCCAGGCCCTGAATTCAAGTCCCAGTACTGGCACAAAACGAAACAAAACACCACACACACACTCACCCACACCCAAAATGTGTGCTATGAATAACATGCTGGGTATGTGGTAACTTACAGTATATTTTATAATCTTGAAATATTCCTTAGTATTCAAGTTGAATGATGCAAAACACAAAAAAAAAATTCTAAGAGAATAATTCATGTCACAGAATTGTTACGACAGGGGCTGGGAAGGTGGCTCAGTGGTAGAGTGCTTGCCTTGCATGCATGCATGAGGCAGGCCCTGGGTTCGATTCCTCAGCACCACATAAGCAGAAAAAGCTGGAAGTAGTGCTGTGGCTCAAGTGCTAGAGTGTTAGCCTTGAGCTGAAGAGCTGAGGGACAGCACCCAGGCCCCACGACTGGCAAAAAAAAAAAAAAAAAAAAAGAAAAGAAAAAAAGTAATGGTTATGACAGAACTAGACACGATATAAATTAGATCAAATCAAACGAACATCCCTACCCGGAACTGTCACCTGCACGATCTTAAGGTCTTCCATACTTGCTGCAGAAGCTGTGATACTGGACGAATTTGTGTGTCCTTAAAACAGAAAGTTCAGTTCAGAATGTAGGGGGAATAAGGCCAATTCTCCACAAAGATTTGAAGTGGCATGGCTACCATCTAGGGCTAGGGTCCTTCTCTCTACTAGTTAAAGAATTAACCGGCAGGAAAGGGTTAAGGTAAGGAGTAAGTTTGCTTGAAAATAAATGCCTTAAAAGAAAGCAGCAGAAACTCTCCATGTAAAGGGGTCTAAAGAGGATCTAATCCGGTCCTCTGGGGTAGGTTTTAGAGCATGGGCTCCTCCCATACCTCCTCCCCAGGGCTGTGTGCTGATTGGTTGACAGCTGGTGCACAGACCACCCAGGCTCTTTTCATTGGTTGAATGGGAACCCAGGTCATTATGTAAAGTGTTTGAGCAGGAACCCTGAGCATTATGGGAAGTCATGTTTGAGTAGGGACCGAGGGCATTATGGGAAGAAGTATTTGAGCAGGAAGCATTGGAGCAGGAGCCCAAGGCGCTATGGGAAGAAACACATGATGGGATGTTACCAACTATGTTGTGTTAGATCTCCCTCTTTTTTTTTTCTAAATCACCTTCTACTTATCAGTCTTCCATTTCCTCTGTTTCTCTCTCTTCTCTCTCTTTCAAGTGAAGCTGCCCCCCTCCCCCCAGCTGTTCAGGAAGCAACGTGACTGTGATGAGGAAACTGGCCACCAACCTTCCATTTTCACGTGGGCGTGGGGGGCCTCGCTGGCCGCAGAGGAGCTCAGTGGTGCAGACTCTTGGAAAGAAACCATCTCAAATGACATCTACAATGCGCCCTCCTGAGTCCCGCAGGTGGCCCTCCACCCTGCAGGGAGCTGGTCCCCACTCTGATTGCATGCGAGGTGAACAGGGGCGTAGCTTCTACTGAGACAGCAGATGACCCTGAGGACTTTTTTGGAAGGCTAAAAGGAGACAGAGCCCTTCAGATCCCATTGTAATCAGCTCCCACCTTCTAGAAGGGCTGTGAGCATCACATGCTCACAATGCATTCTGTTGTCATTAGGAATACTATGAGAAAAAGATGGCAGAGGCTATGGCTCACACCTGTAATTCCAGCTCCTCAGGAGGTGAGATCTGAGATCACAGTTCAAAGCAAGACTGGACAGAAAAGTCCGTGAGATTCTTATCTATCTCCAATTAAGCCACAGTACCAGCAGCACCCACCAAACAAAACAAATAAGCAAACGGCAACAAACATCCTGCAAGCTTCCAAAAGCAGAGAGCAAGGGAGGGGGAGAGCATGAACCTGCTTCTCATATTTCTAACCTCTCATGGTCACATCCATTTCCATGGCTTCGTTGCTCGTGGACTCGTGGCTTCCTGAAAGGAAAATGTAAGCAATGTAAGGACGAAGGGAGAAACATAAATTAGAAAAAGGTGATTTAACAACACATACAACTCAAGGCCCACAGGAATGCTGAACTACTTCTACTACTTGGAGTAGAATGTTGGAATGCAGGTAAGCAAACTGCTTTTATTATTTGTGTGTGCATCAGTTCTGGGGCTTGAACTCAGAGCCTAGATTCTATCCCATGGCTTTTTTGCTTTTCTTGTAACCAGGCAACTGAAGGTTGGTCAATCACAGCAGTCAAGATTCAGCTGATCACAAATTGCCCACTGATCAGACCATGTGCATAGAAGGCAGGCAAATGCCCATTGCAGCCAATCAGATTGGGTTTGGCTGACAGTTCCATTCATTGGGAATGTAACCTGCCCGTGTGGGTGTGGGTAAGTGGGGGTGGCTGTTGGTGTGTGCAGGGGTGGGCGGCATGAAACTCAGGAGCATCTTTCTCATGGAGTTCTTTATGGGTTTGAGCCTTTTTGCTGCTGTAGTGAACTGTGATAGTTAAGCGGTCTCAGGAGAAAATTAAACTGTGTAAATATTGTGTTCTAAATTTAGCATACGTTGATGATTCCTGCTTTACTCAGTATTTTATTCTAACGAATAAATAAAAGGTGCTTTTCCCACTGCAGCTGCTTTCCACTATGCAATAAGTGGCTGTTTCAATCTAGATTCTACCAAAACTTACACATGGGGGTCAGAGTGGCAGATGGCTGTACACAGCATGCCCAAGGCTTTGGGCTGGGGTCTCCAGCACCCCAAGAGAAGCTGACAAGTGCCCTCACAGCACACATGGTCATGCCACTCAAGTATCTTTTTTTTTTTCTGGTCGGTTGTGGGGCCTGAACTCTGGGCCTGAGCGCTGTCCCTCAGCTCTTCAGCTGAAGGCTAGCGCTCTACCACTTGAGCATCACCCCACTTCTGGCTTTTTCTGCTTATGTGGTTCTGAGGAATCGAACCCAGGGCCTCATGCATGCAAGGCAAGCACTCTACCATTGAGCCACCTTCCCAGCACCTCAAGTCTCTTTCATCGTTTTTGGAGACTGAACTGGGCCTCGCTCTCCTGTTACCACGTGAGCCAAGTAACAAGCCAGCAAGATGTCACATGATGAGCCTCTTTGGCTTTTGTCTTCTTTGACCTGAACTTGCTGTTTTTGCCTGTTTCGCAAGTTCTGGTGTTTACAGAATTTGTGGAGGTTATTCATGGCCTCCAATATTTCCTGCAAATTGCTGGCTACATCAAGAGGCTTGATCAGACTGTTTGGGGTGGGGTGGTGGTGAGCATCCTGTCCAAAGGTGGAATATTTTTTTGCCCACCTCCAGCAGGAATCTGTGATTATGTCTGATCCAACCTTCTTATTTTTTTGTGCCAGTCCTGGGGCTGGAACTCAGGGCCTGGGTGTTGTCTCTGAGCCTCTTTGTACTCAAGGCTAGTGCTCTAGTACTTGAGCCACAGCACCATTTCTGGCTTTTTCAAAATAGTTTATTGGAGATAAGAGTCTCATGGACTTTTCTGACCAGGCTGGCTTTGAACTGTGATCCTCAGATCTCAGCCTCCTGAGTAGCTAGCATGTCAGGTGTAAGTGGTCAGCGCCTGGCTTTATTGTTCTGTTTCTCTATGTTTGAATATTTCTCTTTGCCATTGATTTGTACTTTTCTTCCATTGTTGTCTGATAAAACATGTGGTTGTTTCTATTTGTAAAGATTTGTTTTATGTCCTAAATACAATCCATTTTGGAGACAATTCCCTGGGCTAAGGATGCTATAGAAGTATTGTGTAGATGTCTGTTAAATGGATCTGCTTCGAGTGTCATTTAATTTGGACGTTGATTTGATCTTTGGGGTGTGGCTAACCTGTCCATGGTGAGAGGGAGGTGTTGAAGTTGCCCGCTGTTACTATCTGTGGGTCTCTCTGTGTCCTGTAGTCTCTCTATGTCCAAGTTGGCGATGTGTACCTTTGTACTGTTACACACAGCTTCTCAGGGGATTGCTTCCTTTATATAGTGTGTCTTTCTTCATCTCTTCTAATTTTTGTTTTTCAATGCTGGCCCTGGGGCTTGAACTCAGGGCCTAGGTGCTGTCCCTGAGCTTTTGTGCTCAAAGCTAGCACTCTATCACTTGAGCCATAGCTCCACTGCCAGCTTTTGCTGGTTCATTGGAAAGAAGACCTTCCTATACCAATAGGTTTCTGAACTGTGATCCTTAGATAGCAGCCTCCTGAGTAGCTGGGATTACAGGTGTGAGCCACTGGTGCCAAGTTAGGATCTAATTTTATTCCTTATTTTTGTGCTTGTAGGGACTGAATTCAGGGCTTCCCATATGCCAGGCCAAAGCCCAGTCCATGGCTGAATGGAGAATTGAGATCGTTAATCTCCAGAATTATTACTGAATGTTATACACTAATTCTTGTCATTCTGTTGTTTTTGTGATTTTTTTTTGTTTGTTTCTATCCTAATCCTCCATGTATCTGATCTTTAGTGCTTGCTCTCTGTATTATCCTGGTTGTATGTGCCTTCCTCTTCTGTGCACAGGATTCCTTTAAGTACGTTCTGCAATGCTGGCTCAGTGGCCACAAATTCCTGTGGCTTGTGTTTATAATGAAATGTCTTTTTCTTCTTCAACTAGGAGGGAGCTGTGCTGGACCCAGCGATGCTCCTAGGAGTTCTCTCTTCATGGGCAGGAGGTGTGGCTCATCTGGCTGCATGCAAACGCCAGGGCCACCAATAAAAATGAGCACACCAACTAAACACTAAGACAATAATGATGACTTGAGTGGGGAATGGGAAAATAAGAACAGAGGAATACAGCCGGGTGCTGGTGGCTCACGCCTGTAATCCTAGCTACTCAGGAGGCTGAGATCTGAGGATTGTGGCTCAAAGCCAGCCCGGGCAGGAAAGTCCGTGAAACTCTTACGTCCAACGAACCACCAGAAAACCAGAAGTGGTGCTGTGGCTCAAGTGGTAGAGCGCTCACTTTAAGCTGAAGAGCTGAGGGACAGCTCTCAGGCCCAGAGTTCAAGCCCCACGACTGACAAAAAAAAAAAAAAAGAACAGAGGAATAGAAAAGTGATCTAAAGACAGAATGAAACTGGGGGGGGGGGGGGGAATGAAAGGGAGGAAGAAGATGGGGAGTTAAATGTTAAAATCCTTTGCATCAAGGCCAGCACTGTTTTCCAAGTCTCCACCTTCCTTCCTTCCTTCCTTCCTTCCTTCCTTCCTTCCTTCCTTCCTTCCTTCCTTCCTTCCTTCCTTCCTTCCTTCTTTCCTCCTTCCTCCCTCCCTCCTTCCCTCCCTTCCTCTGTCCCTCGGGCTTGAACTCAGGGCTTGGGTGCTGTCCCTGAGCCTTTTTGCCCAGGTGTATTACTGCTTGAGCCACAGTACCACTTCCAGGTTTTTGCTGGTTAATTGGAGATAAGAGTCTCACGGACTTTCCTGCCTGGGCTGACTTCAAACCATGATCCTCATATCTCAGCCTCCTGAGTAGGTGAGATTATAGATGTGAGCCACCAGCCTCTGGCTGCATCTCTCTTTCCTCTCTGCCTCTTTCCTTGGCTCAGCCTGAACCACATGCTGAAGCTCTTGCTCTCCACATTCCAGATGCCCTCGACTCTCTTTTTTTTTTTTCCGGTTGTGGGGCTTGAACTCAGGGCTTGGGCACTGTCCCTGCGCTTCTTTGTGCTGAAGGCTGGTAATCTACCACTTGAGCCACAGCATCACTTCTGGTTTTCTGGCAGTTAATTGGAGATAAGAGTCTCATGGGTTTTCCTGCGTGGGCTGGCTTTGAACTGTGATTCTCAGATCTCAGCCTCCTGAGTAGCTAGGATTACAGGCGTGAGCTGCTGGTGCCATACTCTTACTTTTTGGTGGCACTTGTTCACTCTGCCATGGCGTGTGCATCCTTGTGGCCATGGGCAGAGACTGGGCACTGGAGTGACTGCAGTCTGTCCTGTTTTCCAGTCCTAACTGCCCATGTGTGTGTGGCCTGCCCACCCTGTCATGGCCCTCCTACACCAACTGTGGGAGAGCCTCGATCGGGGTGGCATGGGCCTCTGCTCTACCGCTTCCTGCTCCCCTCGGTGGTCTTGGTGCCAGGGGATGGGCTGGCCTGGCCTGGCCGAAGTGTGCTTCGTGACTGCTCCTGCACATGCGCGGGGCCAGGCTATGCCACCTGTGGGCTTGGGGGGGGGGCAGGGTCAGCATGCATGGGGGGGGGCCGTCACCTCCTGTCATTTGAAACATGGAGAAGGAAAGTGCTGGAGGCAACATTACCTTGCACACCACCCTCATCATCCTCAGGATCCTCTGACTCTCTCTTGACAGACACGGCCTCATTTCTCGGCGACACACTTGTGTGTGACACACCTGTGTGACAAACAGTACAGTCAGAGTCACCCATGTCTTTTGGTCCCACTTGTGTGGATAGTGACCCTGTGCTCTGCCAGTGGCTGCCTGCGTGGGACCAGCGTAAACGGGACACTGTGTGTGGCTGGTGACCCACTTGTGACCAGAATGCTTCTCTGGAAAGCAGCTGCCAAGTAACAGAACACCAGTGGGAGCCAGGACGGGTGGCTCACGCCTGTAACCCCAGCTACTCAGGGGACTGACATCTGAAGATCTAGGCTTGATGGGCTGGGAAGGTGGCTCAGTGGTAGAGCGCTTGCCTTGCGTGCCTGAGGCCCTGGGTTCGATTCCTCAGCACCACATAAGCAAAAAGAAAAAAGCCAGAAGTGGCGCTGTGGCTCAAGTGGTAGAGCGCTAGCCTTGAGCTGAAGAGCTGAGGGACAGCGCTCAGGTCCAGAGTTCAGGCTCCATGACCAGATTTCCCCCCCACCCAAAAAAAAAAAAGATCTAGGCTTGAAGTCAGCCTCCAACAGGGAAGTCCAAGAGACTCTTATCTCCAATGAATCACCAAAAGCTGAATGTGGAGCTGTGGCTCAAGTGGTAGAGTACCAGCTTTGAGCAAAAAAGCTCAGGTATGGTACCCAGGCACTGAGTTCAAGCCTCAGCACCAACAGAAAAAAAAAAAAAAAAAAAGAACACAACCACTTGATAGACTGCTAAATACTCGATTCTAGAAGTGTCCATGCACCTACCAGAATCCTCCTCGGGTTCAGTTTTCACATCAATGGGACCACAGCTGCAAGAAGCAAGGGAACTCTGTTCAGACAGGCAGTAAAAGCCAGGCCCCAGGCCCTTTGCACATGCAGAGTTCCCAGGTCCCCACTCCATTTCATCAACCTCATGCAAAACCACCTCAACTATAACCAGGAAGTTCTTAATGATCGGCTACAAAATTAAACATGGTGGTAGTATTCAACTCAGATTCCTTGGATTCCTCCCAATGAAAGCTACGCACAGTAAGGAGGAACCCGTCCACTCTCTTTTATACTGTGTCTATCCCTCCCCTCCTCCCCCAGTATTGGGGCGTGAACTCAGGATCTCACACTCATTCAACTTTCTTGCATGGCTGGTGCTTTACCATTTGAGCCATACTTCCAGTCCTATTTTTTGGTAGTTAACTGGAGCTGAAGTCTCACAAATTTTCTTGCCTGGGCTGGCCTTGCACCTTGATCCTCGCATCTCAGCCTCCTGAGTAGTAAGGATGACTGGTGTGAGCTACAGCCCCAGGCTGTTTCTGAGAATGTTACATAGCACGGGCTGGCCTGGAACTTGTGACCCTCCTGCCTCAGTCATCTCAGGACTGGAATTACAAGCATGTGCCACGACTCCTGGTTGTGCTTTTTTTTTTTTTAAGTCAGTCATGGGCTTGAACTCTTGGTCTGGGCGCTGTCCCTCAGCTCTTCAGCTTAAAGCGAGTGCTCTACCACTTGAGCCACAGTGCCACTTCCGGTTTTCTGGTGTTTAACTGGAGATAGGAGTCTCACGGACTTTCCTGACAGGGTTGGCTTTGAACTATGATCCTCAGATCTCAGCTCCTGAGTAGCTAGGATGACAGGCGTGAGCCACCGGCACCCAGCCGCTACTCTGTTCTTTACCTCTCATTTGGTGGCAGGGTCGATCGCTCAGCCTCCATGGGCATCCCACAGCCATCTGTTTAGGAATAAAGACACACTGGTCTCCATGAGCACCTTCAGATATGGCCGCTGGCCAGGCATGTGGAAGGAAAGGAAACACAGGGGCAATGGGACTTCTGCTCAGGCCCACGGGCTGGGAGCAAGGGCAGCGAGCCCACCGCAGCTGACACTATGGAAGTGCTGTGGCGGGGCAGGTGCTGATGAGGCTCCATGTGTGGATGTGGTCCCTGTATGCATGTGTGCAGGGGTGCCTCTGTGTGCAGATGTGGCCTAGGTGTGGCTGTGGTCCTGTGGTGGACCCGTGTGTAGGTGTGAGCCCTGTGTGTGGATGTGGGCTGTGTGTGGGTGCAGGCGTGGGCTCTCTGTGCGGTGAGGATGCCAGCAATGGGGTGGCTGGCTGCAGGACCCTGCTGAGCCCCCGCTTCTGCTGCCCCAGAATGGGGTGAGGGGGGGAAGTGTTGTCTGCCCACGAGCTCCAAATGACACTCCTCCCCAGCCAGCTCTGAACAGCAGCCATTTCTACTGTGTTTGTTCACCAGATGTGTGGTCTGGAGGTGACGCTGTTCTATGCCAGCCGTGAGGCCCCACGGGGCATGGACTCACACGTGCCCCGGACACATAAGGTCCATGGGACATGCAAAGTGCTTGGAGCTGAGCCCGGCACCACACCAGCTCACACCCATGGCTCATCCTCACTACTTATGGTTCATGGTGGCAGTCACAGGCTCAGGCCACTCACAAAGGCCACACGCCACCCCCTGTACCCGGCCTTGAGGGTCAGGTTCCGCCCGCCCCTCTCTCCCCAGCCAGGCTTGGCCAACACCCCATGGGCGGGTGACACCTTTCCCTGGGCCTGCGCTCCAGCGTGGGCTCCTGTTAGGTGTCCACACTGGGAAGAAGTGGTCACTCACCCAGCAGCCCCTTGGCTCCATGGACAGGTCTGCAGGAAGAACGACACACAGGAGAAATGTGGACAGTCAGCACTGTGGGCAGCGCTGGGGCCTGCTGCTTGCTTCAGGGCTCTACCACCCAAACCACACCCTCAGCTCTTTCTTCTTCTGTCGTTTTCCTGGGTCAGCCTCAGACTACGACTACTCTACCTCCACCTCCCTAGTAGCTAGGACTACAAGCATGCACCACTAGATCTGGCTGAACTTTTCAAGTAACAGGCAGTAATAAGCTGATCACATTTAAGCTCCCAGCTGCAGGCGCTCTACCAACGTAACATGCTTCCAGCTCATTTTGTTACTGGTTGTTTTAGAGATGGGATTTCATTGCTACTCAGTTGTTTGGGCTGCGAATCTCCTATGTTTCTTTTCCTGTTGGAGCTGAGTGACAGGGGCATGCCACCACGAGCAGCTCATTCCAGTGGAGTCTCGCAGGCTTGTTCCGCCTGGGCTGGCCTGAAATTGTAATCCTCTGGATCTCAGACTCCCAAGTAGCTAGGATGACAGGCACGAGCTGCCACGTCCAGCCCCAGCTTTCCTTCATACAGACCACTAGGATGGCCTCGAACACGTCACCTGCTGACGACGAAAGAGATTCTTTCCTTGTTCGCCAAAATCCACTTCAGGGTGGCAAGGTCGTAGTTCTCGGGACGCTGGAAGGCCAGTCCTTCTGGCAGCCCGTACACCCCCACAGCTGCCTGGCCACATAGCATCTGCTCGTAGGGCACGGATACCGGGGCCACAGTCCCCAGGGCTTTTCCTGGAACAGTGTGCGCAGACACCAGCTTCGCTTAACATCCACCACAAAGGCACACCACAAATGCAGACATGGTGTTGGGCTTTGAAGGGACATTCAATCACTCTCCCCATCTACAGATTAAAGTAATCCCAGCTGGTGGCTGATGCCTATAATCCCAGCTACTCCGGAGGCTGAGCTCTGAGAACTTTAGTTCAAAACCAGCCTAGACAGACAAATGTATGAAACTCTTAAACTCTTATCTCTGATCAACCAGCAAAATGCCAGAAGTGGAGGTGTGGCTCAAGTGGTAGAACACCAGTTTTGGATGAAAAAAGGTGAACAAGAGGTGCAAAGCCCTGAGTTCAAGCTCCAGTACTGACAAACAAAACAAAACAAAATAAAAACCAACCACCCTTGGTCCTCCAGATCTGCCTCCTGAGTAGCAAGGATTACAGGCATGAGCACGGGTACCTGGCTATAAATGCCTACCTTACTACATGAGGAAGGGGTAGGGTGGGAGAGGGCTGAGAGGCAACAGAATCTATGTGGGAAGTCTTTCACTGCAGTCCTGGCCTCTGTGTGAGGCTCTCGGAGGTGGGATCAAGGACAAGTCTGACAGATGTGGGGTTTGGATGGATGGGAGATGACTGAGCTGTGTTCTGGGTGACACAGCCAGGTCGCCAAGCACTAGGCTGTGCAAGACACGAGCCTGGGTTTGAAGTCACACTTGCACACCCATCTGCATCCAGCTGTGCCCTTGGCTTGCTTATTCATGGCTGATGCTTTACCGCGAGTCATGCCTCCAGTTCAGCATTCTGCTGATCAACTCAAGAGAGTCTTCTGGACTTTCCTGCCCAGGCTGGCTCTGAGTCATGATCCTCCAGATCTCAGCTTCCCAAGTAGCTAGGAAGGAGGACGGGGCGAGCCCCCTGCATCCCTGCTCCAGGTTCTCTTGCCCCAGTCCCTGTTCTTTGGGGACCATCTAGAGACTCATGTACAACAGGTACTGACCATAACATGAGCAGAAGTAGGCGTCCACCGCTCTCCTGAGCACCTCGGCCTCCCCACAGTGCACCTGTGGCTTGATTGCAGGGCTTGGAGGCTTCTCTTTGCTCCACCGTTCCTCACAGCCTGAAAACAGGGGTGAGGGGGGGGGTTAGAATCTGCTCATTCTATTGTCCCCTGGGATCTGAAGCAAGAGGAAGAAACAAAACAGAGATTAAAAAAAATTTTTTTCTTGTTGGTCATGGTGCTTGAACTCTGGTCCTGGGCACTGTCCCTGAGCTCTTCAGCTCAAGGCAAGTACTCTACCACTTGAGCCACAGTGCCACTTCCAGTTTTCTGGTGGTCAATTGGAGGTAAGTATCTCATGGACTTTCCTGCCCAGGCTGGCTTTGAACCGCAATCCTTAGATCTTAGCTTCCTTGGTAGCTAGGATTATAGGTGTGAACCATCGGTTCCCGGCTCCGAGCTTTTTTTTTTTGCCAGTCTTGGGGTTTGAACTCAGGGCTTGCGCTCTGTCCTGAGCCTCTTTGTGCTCAAGGTTAGTGTTCTACCACTAGTGGTACCACAGCACTACTTCTGGCCTTTTCTGTTTATGTGGTACTGAGAAATCAAACCCAGGGCTTCAAGCATTCTAGGCAAGCACTTTATCACTAAACCACCTTCCCAGCCCCTCTCTGACCTCTTTTGTTAAAGGCTAGCACTCTATCACTTTGAGCCACAGTGCCACTTCCAGTTTTCTAGTGGTTAATTAGAGATGAGTCTCAACTTTCCTGACAGGGCTGGCTTTGAACTCGGATCTTCACATCTCGGTCTCCTGAGTAGATTAGACCACAGGTGTAAGGCAGTGGTTCCTGGCCAGAATATCTTTTTACTTGGCACACAAGGACTGTATCTGGATTTCATTAGGACATTTGCATATCAATTCCTTGTCATTAAGAAGAAAGACAGCTGGGAATGTGGCTCAGTGGTAGAGTGCTTGCCTAGCATGCATGAAGCCCTGGGTTCGATTCCTTAGTACCACATAAGCAGAAAAAGCTGGAAGTGGTGCTGTGGCTCAAGTGGTAAAGTGTTAGCTTAGAGCAAAGGAAGCTCAGGGACAGTGCCCAGGCCCTGAGTTCAAGCCCAGGACTGGAAAAAAAGAAAAAAGAGTGGGGTGTTTGCAAATGTGCTGCTTATCCCTGAAATTAATCTGTCCACCCTAGCTACTTAGGAGGCTGAGATCTGGAAGACAGGTTCAAAGACAGCTCAGGCAGGAAAATCCAGGAGACTATCTCTGATTGATCAGCAAAATGCTGGACTGGAAAGCAAGGCACAAATGGTAGGGCACCAGCTGTGAGCAATCAAGCCAAGAGAGTCAAGGCCCTGAGTTTGAGCCCTGATGCCAGCAGTAAAATGAAAATGAAACAACCCTGGACATGCAGGGCCCTGGTGGCAGGCACGTCTTTCCACACATTTGGAAATCTGTAGCAGAAGATGGCTTGAGCCCAGGAGTTCTAGACCTGCCTGGGCAACACAGGCCCTATCCAATGACACTTTAGTCTACAGTCTTTGAATTTATCCTACAAAACTCAAGTGTACTGGGGTGGAGGCCGAGCACAGGGTGCGGCTGTGGACAGCCGGGTATGAGGCGGCTGTCCACCATGACGATGCTGGCGTGGGGGAACGTGGGGAACGTGAGTGTGCGTGGAGAACGTGGGCACAAAGGTCTGCGGGCTTCACGACTCAGGGTGAGGATGAAGCCAGCACGTACAGTAGGCTGAGAAGTCCTTCTGCAAGTCCTTCCTGGCATTGACGAAGGCGCGTCCCCTCTCTGTCCCAACTACGAACACATCGGTCTCATATATGGCCATGCAGGCCACTTCCGCCTTGGACTTGGCCAGCTCCTTACACTGCAAGCAGACAGACAAAAGTGGCAGAGAAACTATCAAAAATGCTTTTGGTGGGGCTGGGAAGGTGGCTCAGTGGTAGAGTGCTTGCCTTGCATGCACCACATAAGCAGAAAAGGCTGAGGTGGCGCTGTGGCTCAAGAGGTAGAGCCCTAGCCTTGAGCTGAAGAGCTGAGGAACAGTGCCCAGACCTAGAGTTCAGGCCCCATGACTGGCAAAAAAAAAAAAAAGCCTTTTGCAGACATTATGGCAAACTGTACAGCCCCACAGCCTCATCTACATGTGGATGCACTCTCCTCTTTTTTTTTTCGGGGGGGGGGGGAGGGAAGGGGAGCAGTCATGGGGCTTGAACTCTGGGCCTGGATGCTGTTTCTGACCTCTTCAGCTCAAGGCTAGCACTCTACCACTTGAGCCACAGCGCCACTTCCAGTTTTCTGGTGGTTTATTGGAGATAAGAGTCTCACCAACTTTCCTGTTTGGGCTGGCTTTGAACTGCTACCCTCAGATCTCAGCCTCTTTAGTAGCTAGGATTACAGGCATGAACCACCAGCACCTGGCCTGGTGGTTTATGGAGATAAGAATCTCATGGACTTTCCTGCCTGGGCTGGCTTTGAACTGCTATCCTCAGATCTCAGCCTCCTGAGTAGCTAGGATTACAGGCGTGAGCCACTGGTACCCAGCTTGTACTCTCCTTTTGCAGCCTCGTCTTCATCTTTATCAGGGACCCAGGTAGAGTGGGAGACAATGTTCCACTACAGTGTGACAGCCTCCATCTCAACAATCATTTCTTGGAGGATTTGAACTCAGAGCCCCCACCTGCTAGGCAGGTGCTAGGCCATTTAAGCCATGCCCCTACCACTTAAGCCTCTGCTTTTGCCATTTTGTTTGTATTTTTGTGAGACAGAGGTTTTGTTTCCTTGCTCAGATTATGCTTGAACTTGAAATACTCCTGCCTCATTCTCCTAAGTGCTGGGATTACAACTGTATGCTATCACACTCAGCCTAACAGACACCTGGACTTGCCCCTCCCCCACGGGAGAAGAGCCCCCAGGGCAGATGCCACCTCACCATAGATTCCAGTGCAGACACAAGAAACGTCACCACCATCCGACTTTCTGACAACTCCTCATCTTCAACGGGCAGTGAGGACATCGCTACCTGGGCCATGGTTCCTGGGCAAGAGGGGCAAGGAGGACGTGAGTAGCACAGCTCCAGGGGCCCTCTGACTGCACACTCACTGGGAGAGTGCTCACAGGTAAAACCTTCCCTTCCAGATGATGCTTTTCCTGTTTGGTGTTTGTTTGCAGTCCAGGGGATGGGCCGGCTCTACGCTGGGCTATGCTCCACCACTGAGCCCAGCCTTGAACTATTAAAAGAACTTCAGGATCTTACCTCAAAACTACTGAGTCAGGGAAGGGCCTGTGTCTCAAGTCTGTAATCCTACCTACCCGAAAGGCCAAAGTAGAAAAGGCCAAAGTAGAAAAGCTCTTGAGACCAAAGGAGAGCTGGAGGCATGGCTCAAGTGGCAGAGTGCCAACCTAGCAAGTGAGTGGGGATGCAGTGAGTGGCACTGCCATGGTGTCACACTGAACAGCTTTTTTACCAACAGTTCCAGCAAGAAAACTGGGCAAACAGAGGCAGCTGTATGGAGAAGCTAAACATGGTAAGGTGTGTGTGCATGTGTGCACATGTGCGTCCCTCCCAGGAAAACAAGAGCTTTTCTGCTCAAGGCTCGCGCTCTACCATTTGAGCCAGCTCCCCTTCCAGCTTTTTGCTGGTTAACTGGAAGTAAGTCTCAGGGGCTTTCCTGACCCAGCTGGGTTTGAACTGCCATCCTCCGGTGTCAGCCTTCTGAGTAGCTGGGATTCTACAGACGTGAACCCTGGCGCCGGGCCTTGAAGGCGTTCTAACCCCTTAGCTCGGGCGGGAGGGCAGCCCCCAGCGCTGCCAGCCTTTCCCCGTGACCTCTGCACCGGAGGCGTAGAGCCGCGCTCCAACCCCGCCCGGTCGGGCACGCCCACAAAACCCACACCGCGCGTGATGGAAGGAGGCGGAGCCAGAGAGCGGTTACCAGGCAACAGCGGCGGCCCCGCCTCCCCACCTAACCAATTAAACGCGCCACACGTACGCTGGGCGGAGCGTAAGCTCACGCTCACCGGTCTCGCAGAGCCCCGCCTCCTGAACTCGCTCAGCCAATCAGTATAGAGGAGGACGGGCGCGCGCTCGGTGGCCGCGCGGCAGGGCTTTCCGCCCCACCCCCACTGCTCCGGGCCTGCCCGTGGGAACGGGATTCGGGGGATGCGCGACGGCCGCAGGCCGCCTCCCCGGGTCTTCCGGAGGAGAGTCTCTGTGGCGAGCACCCGCTCGTAAAGGCGGCGGGGGTCGGTACCCACCTGAGGCGCTGGCCGGGGTCCGAGGCCTGGCCGGGGGCGGGAGGCGCGCGCGCGCACGGGGGCGGGGGCGCGCACGCCGCCCGCGCTCCTTCCTCCTGGACGTCTCTCGGCTGTTTTTTCTCCTCCACTCTCGCTTTTTGTGGGGCGTCCGCCGCTCCTGAGTGGGCGGCGCCGCTTCCGGTGCCCGCGCTCCGCTTGGCCAGACGCCGCCCCCCGGACGTGGGGTCGGGGCTCCGGTCCCGCGCCCCGAGGCTGCGTCGAGGGAGTGCGGCCCGCCCCGGGCAGCCCGAGGCCGCGGTCGCCGGCCCCGCGGGGGGGGGGGGGGGGGGGGGGGAGGCGCGGGCGCTGACGTCACCGCCCTCGCCTCGCGCCGCCCTCGCCCGGCCCAGCGGGCACCGCGGCCGGCGCGGGGCTGGCGCCTGCTTGCTTGCATCGCATGTTCTGCCTCTCCAGCCTCTCTCCGGACCCGACCGAGTTTTTGCTGGTTATTTTAGAGCTGGGTTCTGGGTCAGTTCCTGCTGGGGCGGCTTTGGAGCTGCAGCCTCCTGCGCGGCTGGGAGTACATTTTTAGGATAGAGGCCGGTGTATTGTGGCTCACGATTCTGAGTTTTGCGCAGATTCGTGGCCTGGGATACTTGGCGCATGCGCGCTGGAAGATGTCCTGAGTGTTGGCATTTCTCTCCCGGCAGAGGTGCGTGGCCGAGGCCCGCAGTCACCGTAGCGCCTGCATTCTGGGTTGCGAATCAGCCCCGACGTCGTGTCTCCCAGTCAGTCTCTCTCATTACCTCCTGAATTGAACGCAGCTCATCTCCTAGCCGGTGGGATGTTTTTATGCCACTTGACAAGATGATTTTTAAATTTATCAGGAAGTAAATGTTATGAATAGCAGAGTCAATTTTGAGAAAAGAAGAGCTGAAGCAGGGATGTTTGATAGAATTAGCATATTCTCAGCAGCTGAAACCTTGTATTAGCACAACAATAAACCGGTGGAACAGCTTCCAGAAATTGACTCGCAAATTTTTGGAAATTTATCACGTAATTCTCGATCGCATTTTTTCCGTTTTTTTTTTTTTTTTGTCCTGGTAGTGATCCTTGAACCAGGGCCTCATACTCCCCTTGGCTTTTTTACTCAAGGCTGGCACTCTTACCACTTGCGCCACACCTCCACTTCCAGCTCTTTGCTGGTTAATTGGAGATGAGAGCCTCTTGGACTTTCCTGCCCCAGCTGGGTTTGCATTGGTGGGGTGGTGGGGCTTGTGATCCTCTCATTTCTGTCCCCCAGTGTAATTGGGGTGACAGGTGAATATCACTGCACCCTGCTTTTTCTGTTGAGTGGGCTCTCAAACTTTCTGCCCCTGTACTGGTCTGGAACTGGGATCCTCCTGACAACCCCCTCTCTCCTCCCCCAGCGATCACAAAGGTGTGAGCCAGTTGCACCCCGTGAAATGTTAGATAATTCTTTTTAACCAAGTGAATGCAGTTAGTCATATAAATAAGTTATTAATAAAAATGGAAACGTGGGCTAACCAAAGTAAAAAAATCGACTTCAAATTATTGAAGCCAGCCAAACACGTTGGCGCATTCTGTAGATCATGTAGTCCAGGAATTTGAGACCAACAGGCAAAAATGTAACAATGGGGAAAACATAAAGAAACTCCATTGCAAAAAAGAAAAAAAAAAGTAAAAATAAAGTAGTCCTGAGCAGGGGTTTGGTGGCTCATGCCTGTAATCCTAGCTACTCAGGAGGCTGAGATCTGAGGCTCACAGTTCCAAGCCAGCTCCGGGCAGGAAGGTTCCTGAGACTATCATCTGCAGTTAACCACCAGGAAAGTGGAAGTGGAGCTGTGGCTCAAAGTGGTAAGCTAGCCTTAAGGGATAAAAGCTCAGAGACAGCACCCAGGTCCTGAGTTCAAGCCCCAGGACCGACCAAAAAGAAAGTCCTGTTTACAGTCCAAGTGCAGTACAGGCTGTCTTATGGAGGGGGGGTGGGGAAACGTTAGCCGACATTGGCTTGGCTTCTATTTTGCTGTGGGGCCATCTTTTACAAAATGAACAAAAAAAACAGCCTTTGCCAACATAGAAATCTGTCTGTAAAGCCGATCCTGATGTGCAAAATGGGGAAGTCGCTCTGTGAGCGGGGCGGAGCCACACCCAGCTCCTTCCCTCTCAGAGAACAGGCGAACGCCGGGTAGACACTGCCGCCCAGTGGCCAGAGCCACCGCGACGGCTCCGGCCGATCGAGGCTTTCCAGAAAGGCCCGCTGTGTCGAAAATAAAGGCGAAGCCTTGCCTACCAGGTGGGCTCACCTAGCGCCATTTTTTTGGTTTGTTTGCCAGTCCTGGGGCTTGAACTCAGGGCTGGGCGCTGTCCCTGAGCTTCTTTTGCTCAAGTCTAGCGCTCTACCACTTGAGCCACAGCAACACTTCCGGTTTTCTGGTGGTTTATTGGGGATAGGAGTCTCACGGTCTCTCCTGCCCGGGCTGGCTTTGAACCGCGATCCTCAGATCTCAGCCTCCTGAGTAGCTAGGATTACAGGCGTGAGCCACCAGCGCCCGGCTCATTTTTAAATTTTGATAAGTTTATTCTGATAAGTCCCGAGGCGTGAACTCGGATCCCGAGCACTGCTTCCTGAGCTTTTTCTCCTTCCTAAGTCTGGGGCTCTACCGCTTGAGCCACAGCAACAGTCCTGGCTTTTCCGGGGGTTAACTGTCGATAGGAGTCTCAGTTCTCGGCCTCCGGAGTTGCTGGGATTGCTGGCCGGACGACCCCACCGCGACCAGAGAGGGAGGCGGCACACGGCGGCCTCAGCTCCGGGCGGAGCGAGCAGCGGGCGCTATCCTGGACGGCGGCCGCGCAGGCTCCCCGGGGGCTTTGCCCTCAGCCCTCAGTAAAGATGGCTGCTACCATGGGCTCTTCCGGCAGGACGTGAGGTCAAAGGTTACGCACAGATGGCGGCACCCAGGCTCGACTGAGGCGTGCAGCTGAGCATGGCGCTGGCGGCGGGGGCTCGGCTGGCGCGGCCGGGGCTGGCGCGGCCGGGGCTGGCACGCGGGCACTGGACGCCGGCCGGGCGCTCGCGAAGCCGGCGCCAGGCGGCGGAGGCCGAGGCGGCCGCGCCCGTGCTGCAGTACGTGGGCGAGCGCGCGGCCCGCGCCGACCGCGTCTTCGTGTGGGGCTTCAGCTTCTCGGGGGCGCTGGGCGTCCCCACCTTCGTGCAGCCGAGCTCCCGGCCCGCGCCGCGCGGCGCCCCCCGGCCGCGCCGCAGGATCCAGCCCGTGCCCTACCGCCTGGAGCTGGAGTCCCAGGTGCGCCCGCGCTCCGCTCCCCAGCCCCCCCATTCCCCACCGCGCATGCGCCTTCACCCCTCCCACCGCGCCGCCTCCGTCTCACTGCGCACGCGCGCTCCTCCCAAGAAGCGGAGGATGGAGGGGCGTGGGGGACTTAGTCGGAGGCGGGGAGCTCGCTGTTTCTGGGGTGACAGCGACGTGCCAGGTGTTTGGTCCAGCAGCCTTTCAGTCAGTGGTGCTCACCTCCAGCTGTAGGGGAGAGAAGGGAGGGACGCAGAGGCAAGGCCCAAGGTTTGAACTCAGGTCTTTCTGACGACAAGTTCTGGTGTTAGGGAAGGAAAATTCAAAAAGTCAGGGGAAATGTGGGTGGGCTGCGACGCTGGAGGAAAGATCAGAGAGGAAGTGTTACCCCTGGGCTCATCTTGCAGAAGAGGGGAGGGGAGGGAGAGGGAGGGCTGGGTCTGGAACTCAGGGCCTGAGCACTGACTTCAGCGTTTTTACTCAAGTGGTTAGGTTCATGGGGTCTCTGAGAGACTACACAGGCCTCTGATAAATCACCGGCTGCTGAGACGTTGGCGGGGAGGGCTACTGGGATGACCCGCCCTCGTCATTTAGTTTGTCTGAGAGTGAACCTTGGGATGTCAGGTATAAACCAGGACCGCCTCAGGCTGCCTGAGGACTGGTCACTGGTGGTGTGGGAAGGGCCCCCTCTGCCCTGTCCCAGCAGTGTGGTGAGGACTGGACACAGCGTGTGAAACGCCCAGCAGAGCCCTTGTAGAAAATCAGGAGCTGGGACACTTTTTGGTCTTCGTGGTGGTGATGTGAGAAGGTGGCTGTGCAGCACGGCGCTGTGGCAGCCCTTGGGCATTATGAAACAATGACTTGGGGGGGGGGTTGTTCAGCTTCCTCACTCTCCAAGCCCAGATGAACTGTGTTTTACCCTCCCTACCCCCCTGTGAAGCAGAGCCATCAGCAGGCCACACAGCAGGCAGGCCTGGCCAAGATGTGTGAGGCTGTCCTGGTGGGCTGGGGGGAGGGCCCCAGGGCTGAGCAGGAGTGCTCAGGGTGGCTGATGCTGTGCTCGGTGCGGTGGGTGCTGGGCAGCGCCTGTCTTTCTCCTGAGGGACGTCGCTGGCCAGTTCATGCTTCCTTGGGTCTTGGTTTCAGATCTCTTCGGCAGCCTGTGGCTACGGGTTCACGCTGCTAGCCTCTCGGACCAAAGACGTCACCAAGGTCTGGGGCATGGGCCTCAACAAGGATTCCCAGCTTGGCTTCCACAGGAGCCGGAGAGACCAAAGTGAGCAAGGCACCTTGTGCCCCTGACAGCAAGTAAACGAGTTGGCGTGACAGGAGGTGGGGGGATTGGAACTCAGGGCCTGAGGCTTGCATGGCTGGTGCTCTATCATGGAGACACACCACCAACCCTTCTTTTGCTCTGGTTACCCTTTTTGAGATACCGTCTGGCTTCTTGGCCCAGATATGTGCCTGGACCACAATCCTCCTATTTTTTTTTCCTTTTTCTTTTTTTTTATTTTGTTATTCTCCCACTATAGCCGGGATGACAGGAGTATGCTGTGTCACCCAGCTTCTTCCATCAAGTTGAGGTCTTGTGGACTTTTCTGCCCTGCTGGCCTTAGACGGAGCCCCTTCTGTCCTTAGTCTCCCAAGTAGCCAGGGTGATGTGTGACCGTGATAAGGAATCCATTAGTGTTTTCTAGACTCCAGTTGAACTCTCACTAAGGACTCTGGGAGGTAACAGGAA